TATTAAGAGACATTAATTAAATTTGAATCATTGATCAGTAGTCATACTGAGAATTATATAATAGAGATATTAATAACTGTAATTAAAAATAACTATTAAGATATTAGTCTCAGTCTTCTTATAATTATAACTGATAATACTGTGAATAACTATACTATAATAAAGAGCTTGAAGTAAAAATTAACTTTGTATTTTTAAAATAATAAACAAGATCATATTCTCTGTATTACTTATATGATTCAACTTGTAATATAAACACTGATAAAGAATCTTAATATTAAGATAAAGAATAATGAGATGACTGATTCTTGAAATGAGAATGAGATGAAAGTAATTACTTAAGTAACTTTTATATTCACTTTATAAAAGATAATATTTTTTAATAATACTTTTTAATATTACTTTTTAATAATGCTTTTTAATAACACTACTGTTAATTTTGAATAGATTAACTAATAATTTAAATATCACAGATTTGAAATATTATTAATATGATTTATATCTTCTCTAAATAATAATAATAATTTCATAATATTTAATAAATAAATAAATCAGTCATATCACTGAATATGATACAGAATATTAGAATATGATAAAGTTCAATATATAAGATAACTATTCAGACTCTTTAATTATGTCAGATAATTAATTATTGAGTGTAATACTCTGATTAGAAAAAGATTCAGATATTGAAACTTTCTAATATAAAGTGAACTCAGTTAAAATATGTAATTAATTTACTGTTTCAGTTTTATAAGATAATAAAGATAGTCTTAATCACTTATACATCAATACTGCAGTCAGTCTGATAAGTATATAACAGTTTATTTACTTATCTTGAAAAGCAGTTGAATCACTTAAAAAGAAATTCAGTCTGAGATAATACTATAGTGCAGGTTATTATTACTGTAAGAAATAAACTGATATATTATTATAGTAAAACTGAATAATCTTTTATAGAGTACTATACTATAGCAGCTCTACTAGATCTCTTTTATTAAGTTAATATCTATACTTCTCAAGATTGAATAGAGAAGAAATGAGACTTATATATTAAATTAATCTAAGACTACTATAATATTAACTATCAGAGATTTAAATAAGCAGATATTTAAGATATAAAAATAGTGAAATATAATTCTCTAATAAGTAACAATCTTTGATAACACTTTATATTATATAGAATTATAATACTAACTTTGAAACAGAACTTATATATATTAATTATAACTGAAAATCAGATAAAACTATATACTTATAAAACTGAATTTAATCACTATCTTCAAGATAATCTGATAAATTTACATGCTAAATCAATTCTAGAGTTATAAAAAATTATTGAGAGTATATATTCAACTGTTGCACTGATAATATGTAATATTCTGATAATTTCATTAATAGAGATGAGAATGAAGTGAAAGTTCAACTCAAGTCAAGATATTTATTACTATTATCAGAGACAATTATAAGAAGAAATAATCAAGAAACTTATGATTATAAAATATAGAATTATCAGACAGTTTAATATCTCTGATCACAGTATATCAGAGAAGTGTAGTTTTCATGAGAAAGTGAAGAATAAACTTACATAAAAATGTATTTAGTTATTTCATGAGTGTTATCAATAATTATTATCAAATTCTGATTATATAAGTAATCACTGAATAAACTGAATGAGACTGATTTTGATCTTCAGTCTCAGTCTTATTCTGATTTTGAAAGAATGATTATCTTTCACAGTTTATTCTGAGAAATTACTCTCATTTCACTGTTCTTGAATTAAATCTGATCATTTTTCACACCATTTCTCTCAGAAATGGTCCATTTTCAGATTTTTTTGAGGCTTGGTCCTGGTGGGACTCACACCAAGAAATGTATGGAACCAGACCAAATGGGACCAAATGTGAAATTCATGGTCCCGCCGGCCAGTCTATGTGAGCCTGAGTCCTGTGGCATACTGCAATTCAGACTGGGCAGAGGTGGATTCTCAATACAAATCAACTACTGGCTATGTTATATTGATTAATGAGTCACCGATCTCATGGCATTCACAGAGACAGACATCTATTGCCAAATCAACCACAGAAGCCGAATATATTGCAGCTAGCAAGACAGCTTGTGAGGTAATCTGGTTGAATGATATGTTATATGATGCCGGGTTGATGAATGATGGAAAAGTGAAAATATGCTCACACCTACAAGTTGACAATAAGGGAGCAATTGATCTAGCAAAGGGAGAATCCTTAACACAAAGGTCGCGCCATATTGAGATTAGATATCATATTCTCCGCGATTTGGTTGAAAAAGGGGAAATCATGATGAAACATGTTGATTCTACAGTGAACATAGCTGACAGCCTCACCAAGCCACTGGCGAAGCCTGCATTTGAAGATTTTGTCAAAAGGGTTGGCATTCAGGAAATTGAGAAGAAGGAATGATTGAATGGTAATGATGATACGGCGGATCAATGGATTTTGCATGTATTTCTTGATTTTTATGGTTATTGCCGTACGGACGCCTTTCCTAATGAGGAAATCAGGGTCTGATTGATGTAATTAATTATTATTGCATTTTTGAAAGATTTGAGGATGGGGGAGGCCCCGGGTGGCGGCTTATAGACCACGGTGTAGCAAGGGGGGGTGTTGGTGATTACTACACCTACCCTAGTCACGTGCCACCCCAACCTATTTAGTGTAACTCGCGTAGTTAGATTACAACATAACAACGTTATCCTCCAAGATACATCAGTGGGAAAGAAATATTTGTCCTGGTATACTTACGTTTCAGGGTGGTCCTACTCCGATGGAAACCTAAGCATCTGCAGGGAGGAGATACATAAATACAAACTTTGCTCGAAGATGAACCAATTGGGACGTTTGTAGACGTGACGGATTTTTGCGGAGGAGAGGAAAAGGTAAAAAGAGTGGGTGGTAACTAGGACCTCAAATTCCGCCCAGCTACCGCTTTCCGTTTATTGACCCTGGCGACAGCGTTAAATCAGTTCATTTAACCTACAGTCGAATCATCATCAAACCCACAAAAATAAACACATCTGACACTCATTTCCGTAAAACCAGATGATCTAGATTTTTTACACGCCAAAGCGCCGCCCGGAACATATATATATTACCCATGCCTATCCTATCATGTGGGAGGGCCACCCCAGGCACTTCGCGTACGGGGGATTTTTAAATTTCCTGAGGCACACTCAACAACAGCATTGGCTGGAATAATCGGAACTTCTATTTGTCACGGTCATGTCGCCCCTGTCCTGGATTGATGTTGTGGTTGTTCTCGTTAGGCCTTTAACCCTCCCCGGAGTTATTTGGCTAGCGATTGGCGCACGTAGAACATATGACAGCGGCAACGAGAGGCAGGGTCGGGAAGGAAGTTGGAATCTTATTGGACCAGAATGGGTAGGAAGGCGAGGCTGTGGGATGTGATTCCCGCGAACATTACATTGTGCATTATTTGATAGAGCGGGGTGCCAGGAAACCCGGGGTTCATGCCAACGTCGTTGAAACTCTGCCCAACCTTTGCTTTCAATTTCCTTTGGCCATGTCTGGGAATTTGAGAATCTTCCAGCTTCCTCTGAATATTATGTCTCGCCGGGTGGTGCAATAGTTTGCAGTCGATTTCGTACGAACGACCGTAAACATCTTCGTTTTCCGATGAAAGGGCATTTTGCTTGCATGACAAGACTGAGAACCTGACACCAGAGTTGCCGGCAGAGGTTGCAAGGAGAAGTAACAACCTCTTCAGTTCCTCTATCTAAACGTGGAGGGTGCTACGAGAAGTTTTGCCTCAGGTAAAAAAAATGTATTTTAGTATCTAGAGCACATCGATCGATGCTGATATTTTGGTACCAGGAAGTCTTTATTGATCAAGGCAAGACCTACATCGGAAAATACGATCCCGTAGAGCTCCTAGCCAACAAAATGAGCCAAGACCATTCTGGTTTTGACATCGTGGATAGTTCCAAGTTGACACGACACCACTACACAGGGTAGCCGGTTATGGCAATGCTTCTACAGTATCCTATCTTCCGAAGAAGGGAGCCGATGCACTCGCTCAAACGCCGGGTGGCAAAACTGCGTTGGAGATAGCCCTTTGGCAGGACCATCTTTTGGTAGTACAACGTAAGAGAGTTGCTCAAGGTGAGCTGGCCGAGTTTTGACGCCACGGGCCGAATTTCGCTAGATAAGATCGTTGATCAACTGAGTAATGAGTAATCGTGAGTGGATTGAAAAGTGGATGCTGGATCATGATCTTCCGCCAAAATTTTGGATGGAGATTTTCACCAGCCTTCGGTGCGCTCATCGAATCCGGGAAAGCGCGAGTAATCTGAAGTCTTCTCCAGGGGATCAAGGATTTGAGACACCATTTAGCCGTCCAGCGGATTCTGACTTTTGCGGGGCATACTACGAAACTGGATGGCTTAGAACTGGAGGTGCTTTGTGTAACTTAGGCAGTTTTCATAAATTATTAATAAACATTCTACGGAGTAACTATAGTAGTAATAATGTCTAGTTACGGGCGGCTTCTATCCTCCTTGAGAATTCGAACTAGCTCTACGGAGTATAGGCAACCTCTAATAAGGGACATACAATACATACATCTTCAACTCCCGCACGCACCGACTGACTGTGTCATCTTATCTCCACTTAGCGTGTGTCTGCGTACGAGGTTCAATTGGTTGACGTTCGCGTAACTAAGTTAACTAGTTAGTTACAGGGAAACTTCTCTCAAGAAGAAATTAGTGTTGGAATTCTTACACTGCTTTCTGATTCGTCAATAAATTGTAGTTCTACCTTGCTAGTTATATATAAGTTGACTAGTTACCAAACTACCCAACCATTATTACTAAATAAAGCATCATTTATAACTAAGTTACCGCCGAATCCTCACCGATGAATTATGCAGCATCCACAGGCTTTGCTGGTACAACAATTAAAGAAAAAGAATATGGATCAAAAAAAAAAAAAAAAAAAAAAAAAAAACTAGGTACGCTATGTAATTATGCATTATGCATCGCAAAAACGAACTCCCTTTGCCCCCAAAAGCTTAACCAAGCCCGAAACGCATGTCCGCTTCCCTGCCGCGCCCCTTCTGTTCCGCTTCTTCGCATTCCCCATGTTATTTTATACCGGGGTGAACCGGAGAAGGCATTTTTCTTTTTTGGGGATAAGAAGAAAATGATCTGTGATATCCATGGCATCGTCCGCCATGGTATCGTCGATGCTAATATTAAATCTCCTCACCAACGTTGCAATCAATATCCTCATTTCGAACAACCCCATTGTCCGCCCCATGCAATTCCGGGGACCCTTGGAAAATGGCATCCAGAACTTCTTCATTCCGTCAGACACGTTGCCTTCAAGCCAGCGAGACGGGTCAACCTTATCCGGGTTCGGGAAATGTTCGGGGTTACGGTGGGTTGTCCATGTATGTGTTGAAGCTACAGTCTGCAGTTCGGCGGCGATGCAGGAGCCGTTAGCAAAGGCTCGGCTCCAATGGGCTGTGGATTGAGATCGAAGGGGAAATTTGGTTTCTTTTATTACTCACCCCTTGAGGCACATAGATGCCGTTTATCATGCATCCACCAATGGGTGCCTCCCTTAGGAGCCCAGCTGGGATAGGTGGATAGGCTCGCAATCCTTCTGAGATAAGAGCGTCTAGAAATGGGAGATTTGATACGCTGTGATGCTGGACGACGACCCCATCTACTAGCGGAAGGTCGGCGAGCTCGGAACGAAGTCGCTCCACCAGATCTGGATTGCGGGCGAGCTCCCAGAACAGATAAAGCAGAGCTGTCCCGGTGGTATCGGTCGCTGCGAAACCAAGATTGCTGATTTCCACTGCGATATCGGAATCGGCGAGCGCATCTGGGTCATTCTCTTTGCAGCCAATCATCTTGGTAAGAAGATCTCTGCGCTTGGAGACACGTCCATATTTCTGGATATACTCATTAAACCGATCAATCCCGTACTGGAAAATCGGGAGTTATTGATTGGTCAGCAGCAAATCATCTGGGGCTCTGCAAGGGCTCTGCAAGGGGACAAGCGCTTCGCCCAGCCGAAGAAAAAGAGCTGGAAAAGCTCCGGGATGGGATGGGATGTGTGCAAAAAGCTTCCTCACTCACCTGGTAGATGCGCTCTTCCGCACCGAAGGCGACCTTGATCTTGGGATGTGGTATTCTCTGCACGAACCAAGCCAGGAAGGGAAAGGTACTCTTAATTGCCCACGTTATTAAAAATAAATCAAAATCTTTCACATATTGCGGCATCTCGTCGGAGTCCAGACCGCCAAAGGACGCCCCAAGGAAAGCTTCTCCCGCATTATCCAGCGTATACATCTTGAACCAATGTCTCATGTCCAAAGCCTTGCCGCGCGCCCGATCCATTCTGGCTACGATCTTCCTCACCGATTTGTGAAAAACCGGCTCCATCTCGTCCAGATGCTGCTTCGCGAACGCGTGATTCAATAGTCGGCGCCTCTCCCTGTGCGCAGCCGGGTCCGATAGGTGCAAGACACCAGGGCGGCCCATTGTCATATACATAGGTGCCTTGCGGAATCGAGTCCCAGTCCCATAGATGATATCGATGCTCTCCGCGGTGGAGAAGCTGAGTTCGTTCGGCCCCAGCTGTACTACGGGGCCGTACTTTGCATGGAGTTCATGGATTTTTAGGACACGCCGTCCGGCAAGGTCCACGCACAGCATCCATGCTCCTGTGATCTTTGCGAGAAGCGGTCCTGGAACCTTACGGAATGGAGAGAAGAAGAGCCTTTGCACAACCTATACACGCAAGCGAATTTGATCATTAGTGTAAAACTCCGATCCTCTGCTTGGATTTAATGCCGTGAAGGGAGGATATATATATATATATATTTTTTTCTTGAACAGGAAATAAAATATGTAGTAAAGAAGCTCACTTTCACAGTGTTGACGATAAGCCACAGGCCAAGTGCGGCAAGGCATGCAGCAATCGCTGCGTTTGGAGGACCAGCTAACAGCGGGAGAAGAAGACCTTGTTAAACGGTGAACCCGTGAAAAGACACAAGCTGGATATGATTATGATTATGATGCTGGAATGAGTAACTAACAAGGTAGGATCATCATTTTTCCACTTCATGAAAGTGAAGGCAGTAGATAGAGAGGAAAGACACTGACTGGCAAACAAGAGACAGAGGGCAGCAGACTCGAACCTGTTTTCATCACGGTTTCCCCCCCCCCGCGCAAGAGTCTCTTTGTATGTATATACAAGTACGGAGTACAATTATATCAACCCTATTTACTCCTACAAAGATTTTTGTGGGAACCGATCGATAGAGACTCATTTATAAGTTTCACGTTCACGGCATAGATTATTATAATATTTCTCCATTCAGCGGGTGCGAGAGCATCTGATAACAATGTACGGAGTAATAATGTAGTACTAACTGCATAAGGTATATAATAAAGGGCTAATGGCTAATGAGCATAGAACTTCTATTCAGGGAGAGTGGAGCTATGTTATACGCAGTATATAGTATGGTGTATGCATCTCATCCGGGGGTTGGGTTGGTTGGTGGCAGACTGGACTGGACTGGACTGGACTGGACTGGCAGCGACTGCATTTGCGTCGTTGGATACGTTTCACAGACAGAGGCTCCAATCCACGATGATGATGGCCCGCTAACTATAGGATCGACCAACAACTTCGTCTATGATCTGTAACTACAAAGAAGAAAAAGAAAAAAAAGAAAAGAAGAAAACAAACCAATCTACAGTAGTTGATCTAGTTGCATGCAACAAACATACATCACAACGCGCGCCCTGCATCGCGCGAATCAGCAATCCTAGATTGATTGACCCTTTCAGTCCCACGAGCGAATTCGCCCATCTTGACACACCACGACGCTTCTTAAACGATGTCTACATGCGCGATTGGCGCTCGTTCCCAACCTATCCTATCTCCATATTCATCTTATAACCAACTCCCCCCCTTCACCTCCACCCCGCTAGCCACGTCAAATGATGGCATTTTCTTATTGAGAGGAGACCCGGGGGTTTGGGAATAAGGGATTTTTTTTTCTTTTCTCATTCTGAAGAGACCTAGCGAGCGAGCTTGTTATGTATTGAATTCACAGGTTATTACTAGCTCTTCGGATTTCGCGGCAGTTTTCTTAAACAGCCCAGGTTTTTGTATGTGTTTTCTTTTTTTTCTTTTTTTTTTTTTTTCTTTTTAATCTGAGTGCATGTTGCCCACGCGGAGCAGGGACTCGGGAGGGACAAAATGTATACGAACAATTAATAGTAGTAGTTAACTATCGATGCGCTGCATATTTAATGTAGCGCAGAGAGAGGCCTGATGGATGCGGGCCGCTGTCCAACCATTCCAATCCCCCAAAAACAGGGCCATCCCATCCCGCGAAGAGAAGAAATAAATACACCGTAGCTGCAACCAACCCTTCCCTTCCAGTAGTAGTAACTAGTAACTAGTAGAGTAGTGCAGTGGTAAGTTCCACAACCAACTAGTTCAACCTTTAGCCCCCTCTCCCTCCTCCCTCCCTATTGAGTAGTCAAGCAGACTCTCAGAATGGCGGTCCTCGTGCAAGATGAGCATGCTTGCTGTTGTTGTACGGAAAGGCGATAGACAACCCGTGCATAATAAGGTCCCGCCGCACAGGATCGAATTGGGCATTGGGCCCCGACGAAGTTACAGTACAGTACGGAGTAGTGAATGTGAATTGGTGGATTTCTCTCTCTCTCTTCCCGTCCGATAAGTGCTGGCAAGCGGTTTTAGGTCTCCGCCTAGGCTGAGGTAGGTATGGTATGGAGTACTACGTACTTTTCCCGACTCTCTCTTTATCCGAACCTGTGGGCGGACCCGCAAAGTGATTCACACCATTCAAGCGTTTTTAAACATCTCATCAGCACAAGGTCCGTTGCGAAGAGAGAGGGGAGGATAAAGCTTCTCCAGGAACAGATGCGGGAAGCTAAAATAAAAATCCCAAACTCCAATTCATCTACACCTACACCGGTGACGTAATGAAATGTATGAAATCATTGACTCCCAGCCGAAGGGCCCAAGCCAAACCAAGCCAGACCAAGGGTCAGGCAGCAACCCAATAAACTCGCCAACAGCCACGAACAAGAGGTTTCGGAGGTAACAAACCGTAAAAGTCATCAGAGCTTCCGCAGAAGGCAGAGACGGTCGTGGGGAGAAAAGACATGGGAGAGAAAAAAGGGATATGAAGTGAACAGAATCAACTGCCAGATAAAATCTCAAAACACACACACACAAAAAAAAAAAAAAAAAAAAAAAAAGTTGGGTAATCGGAATGAGAAAATATCCCCCCGCATTATTCACCCTCCTTCCCCAAGTCACCAAGTGACCTACCTCTTCCTAGTCGTCGCCCCATCCCCACCCTCGCTAGTACTGACCCTGACCGGAGAAACACCTACACCGGTTTCCTCCTCCGGCTCAACTCTAACAAGCACCTCCTCCAAAAACCCCTCAAGAAACGCACTGGCCTCCCCGCCCATCCCTACAGGCGCCTCATCGTCCCATTTTTCGATATCTTTAAATATTCCCGCAGCCTTGATAACCAACCTCCTCAACTTCTCATGCGCGTATTGACGCCGTTGGAGAAGTTCTAAAGCGGTGTGGTTGCCACCACTGCTAGTACTACTATTGCTGCTTTTTCTAGGTGCGCCTATCCCTGAATTGCGGGTCATCGTGTTAAGAATGTAGGCGCGCCGGCGGAGGGCGGCTTCAAGGGCGGGGAGGATGACGCCGTTAAGAGCCGTTATTTCGTTCGCCTGAGAGTGTGGTGCTGGGGAGAAGGCGACGGAGGATGACTGGCTAGAGTCGCTGGACTTGCGTTGGTGCTGCTGCTGCTGCTGGTGACGTTGTAGTTCTTGTTGTAGTTGCTGTTGGTGTTGTTGTTGTTGTTGTTGTTGTTGTTGTTGTTGTTGTTGTTGTTGTTGCTGCTGCTGCTGTTGCTGCTGCTGTTGCTGGCGCTGTGGTGGTTTGTTTGGCATATCCCCTTGCTGCGGGGTTGGCAGTTGTGGAAGCCGCTGTTGGTGGATGGGTGGTAGCGGTTGTTGGCGCTGGACAGGATTTAGGGGGTGGGGTGCGAGGGGAGGTAGTGGGTGTTGTCTTGAGGGCTTTTGTTGGCGTGTGGGCTGTGCCGTTGGGTTGGGAGTTTGATTGGACGTATCTCTGAGTGGATTTGCTTGGTGTCCCTTGAATGGTGGTATTTCCGGTATGTGCATCGCAACTGGCTTCCTTGCGATCTGCTCTTGAGACGCGGGTGCTGGAGCGGGTGTAGGTGTGGTGGGTGTGGATGTAGGAGAGTGTTCTTGCATTTGTTGTGAGGCATTCGAGTCGTCGCTCGGGGACTCTCCAAGTCGAAGAAACCCGATATCCTGCGCTAATGACTTTTGGAGCTCTCGATCATAATCGCTTGTGCTGGGGCTTTCCTTCTGGGGAGGCGGCGGTGGGGGCTTTGCAAAATGCGACGGTGTCTTGGGTACTGGTTCCTGGAAAAGCTTTTGTTTCTGGGCGGAGGGCTGGAGTGGAACTCTTGCAGCAGCCGCAGCTACAGGGGAAGCTGGGACTGCTGTGGGGATGTTGCGCTTTTGGGGAGATTTTGGAGGTGAAGGTGGACCTTTCATAATTTCCTTCGAGGATTTGTTCTGGATATGCAAGTCGGCCGGTCCCTTCCGCGGCTCGATTGGAGATCTATTTGTGTCTTCATGTGCCTGTGTTCTCGCATTTGCCGCCGCATCGTTCATTGTTCGTAGTCCACCTGCTCTCCCGCCAGCGGGTCTGACAGTACCGAAATCCCACAAGTCCTCTTCCTCAGGAGTAGGTTTGTGCGGGGCTTGGCGATAGTCTTGCTCGTCATCGTCATCCGCAGATCGATTTCCATGAACTGCCTGCCATCGCTCTGATCGCTCGATCAACTCTGTGAGATACGTAGTTTTCTTTGCTCGCTTGATAAAAGGATGTTTCAGCAACTCTTTGGCAGAAGGTCGCTCTCTAGGGTCTCTCTTTAAACACAACTCAACGAAGTCCTTAAAAGCTTTGCTGAAGTTTCCCTGTAGAACTGGGGGTGGATTCTTGGGAATCAGGAAGAGAACTTTCATCGGATGGATGTCCGAGTATGGCGGCTCGCCTTGCGCCAATTCAATGGCTGTAATTCCCAATGACCATATGTCTGCTTTGTGGTCATAACCAGATTGTTTGATAACTTCCGGTGCCATCCAGAAAGGGGTACCGACAAAGGTGTTTTTCTTGGTCATGGTTGCAGAAAGTTGCCCAGAGACACCAAAATCTGCCAGCTTGACTTGACCATTCGCTCCAAGAAGTATGTTCGCAGCTAAGTTAAAAGGTTCTGTCAGCTCCAACAACTATGAAAAGACAATTTAAAAGCAATGGGGGTCTGGCCACCTTTGATATCTCTATGTAGCTTTTTGTCGCTGTGGAGATAGTCCAATCCTAGTAGTAGTTCTCGGAGAATTATCATCACGTATTCCTCAGTAATAAGGCCCGCACGCATCAAGTCACAGCAACTTCCACCCGAACAAAACTCCATTATGATCCATAGGTCTGATCCCTTCAGAAACGAACCGTGGTATTTGGTGACATATGGCGAATTGAGCTCGGACAGGATTGAGATTTCTTGAATGATATCTTCGACTTCATCGTCTGCGTTTTCGACGTCGATGATTTTAATCGCAACAGCTTGACCTGTTCGTTTGTCTACTCTACAATTAGAATTAGCTAGTGCTCACGGCGCACGGCGCACGGGGGTTAGTACGGTAGTTAGAGAAACACGCTTTTCAACACATACCCTTTGTACACTTTCCCAAAGCTCCCACCTCCTGTTAAAAAGAAGTTAGCCAAAGAGAATGCCAACTGTATTTTCATCATGGTCGCACTCTAGACGTACCGATACAGTTCTGTTTGGTGTAGTAGGTTTCGGGGTCAACGGCGCCCTCCATTTTTCGTAGGAACGCAGTAGCAATTCAATCACTTTGTGGAAATATCCAAGACAAGACGAGGCGATGTGATAGCCGATAATGTAGCCCTTCCTTCGATGTAATTGATATCCTGTGCTAAACTGCAGTTGTATTGGAGAATTTTGTATGGGAGAAGATGTGAGTCTGTCTGTTGCTCTCGGAACGATTGTAAAAATCGGGAAGAGGGGGGGGGGGGAGTGAGAATGAATTTATATGGTTATGTCAAGTGAGGCGGATTTTAGGGTACGAGTAATTTCTTTCGTCTTCTAATAACTATCGTCGTGCAGTTAAAAGAGATTTGGCTTCGAGGATCCCTTGCTCATTGCGGGCGTCTGTACTATTATTGTTTACTTCGTGGGAACTGTTTATTTACAGCGCTCGAGGGTGTCAGTCATTCAGTCAGTCAGTCAGTCAGTCCACAACCCTAACCATTTCCGGTGCGAAAGATGCGGCTTTTTGACAGCGGAGACGACGTACCGTTCCAGTCATAAGTCGTCGAGTACAATATTTTAGCTTGATGCTCTGGGGCACTATCTGGTCATGTCATGTCATGGCGACCCGAAGTGTATTTGATGTCCGGTGGAGTGGACATGAAGAAGCTAGCTAAATATTTAGCTGACTGTTGAATATTTATTTAGCGGGGAAAGTGTGGGTGGGTGAGAACTTAAGTAAGTTATATTAGAAGATACAGACGGAGGATTGTCTCACGTCAACAACAAGAACAACAAGAACAACAACAAGAACAAGAACAACAACAACAACAGTTTTCAGTGAGGGAGACGCATTCAATTGATGATGTCTCACAAGCATTTCTTAGGATCTACGTTACACCTACAATCTTTGTTTCTACGATCTGTAAAACAAAAACAGCGATTGCCGCCAATTTCCCATGCTGGATCAGGCCAGGCACCAGAAGCTAATAAATGCGCAGTTATTGGGGGGGGGGGTTTTAGAACAGCTCAGACAGACTCTGATGACTCTCTGAGGTAGGGTAGAGTAGAGCTAGATGATTGGGCCAGCAGTTCCGCCGAATGATGAATCCTGGTAACTCGGGGGGACATTATTTGGGCTATGCTGTAAAAGTTATGTTATGTATGATGTTTGAAGCTAACTTAATTAACTAAATATTTTAGTTGGTTAACTACTGCGTAACTAACTAGTTAACTATTTATTTATTAGTGTTCTGGTTTCTTTGGTTGATCTCCACCAATCGCTGTTGATGACTTCACTATTTTGAAACAAGTGAGAATACTATTAATATTATATATATATAACTACGCATTTTTATACAAAATTAAAAGTTTGTATTCTCACATTTATTTTATAATCTCAAAAGAACTTGGTTAGTTCTTACAAATGATGGACTACAGTCACATGCCTTTCAATCTATTATGTGTCCCCATCTGTGCAGTAGAGTAGGTTAGGCTACGGAATGCGGATTATAGAAATAATAAACAACAATTGCCATCCATTCATAGCAACTTAGGCCCAAAAATTATAGTTACGCATTATTTTATACATAGCATGCTGACTTCTGCATTAATTCCTTTTTGAAGCATTTCATTTTTGGTTCTAGAGAGACCACTTCAACAAGAATGCCATATCCCGAAAAGACAAAGTCACTCATCAGAAGATGAATGATTCATTTGGTCTATGAATGCTCATCACTACCAATTTCAATAAAGCCAGCGCCAATTCCAGTTCCAGTTCCTATTCCTGTTCCTGTTGCAACATGGGTGCCAATTCCAGTTTGCCGGTATCATTGTCATCTCCATTTCCATTACCACAATCCCATCCCTATCCTCACTCCCTAAAAGCTACCTGCTTCCACACATCTGCACATAGAAATCAATCCTCGACAAACCCAACCATAACCGTCCCATTCTTCAATCCCGCATCCGAAATCGAGACATCCAACAGCCCAATCAAATTCTGGCCCATCGAGACTAGCTCAAACTCCACCCCAGCCTTATCCTCCGACAACGGTGACGCCTTCAGCCACTCGTAGATGCGCCGGACGGGGTCGGATAGGTTGAAGCGCCGGATCACGCGGCCGGTTGGGTGGCGGAATTGGATTCGGGTTACAGTTGCTGGGTCTGGGCTGGGCTCTGTGTGGGGGTTATTAGATGGGATGGAGGCGAAGGTCGGGTTTTGGCGGGACTCGTCCGCTTCCTCTTCTTCTTCTTCTTCTTCTTGTTGCTGTCGACCGTTTGGTGCTGCGTCGACGTCCATATCCTCGTCTAGGTTTGATACCTTCCCCTTTCCTTTGATATCGCCAATGCTCCTCGTCAGATCGTCGGGATCCTCATATCTGCTCTTCGCGTCTTTCTGGCTCTGGCCTTCCAGACTATTCTTCAGGGCCATTTCCAACATCTCCTCCTCAGTCATGGTTTCGAGCTGGCGCTCCTGCTTCACTTCTGGTTTCCGCCTGGCAACGGGGTTCCGCACAGTATGGTCTAAACTGTAGCGATCCAGGAATTCGTGGACTTGCATTAGGAAATCCGACGGCTTTATGACTGGGCGTCCAGTCCATGCTTTTACTTGCTCGCCCGTTCGTGGGTCAACAATCGCGATATGTGGATAGTTACCTTGCACGTCGAAGCCGGGGAAGTAATATTGAATATACTGCGAGCCGCGCGGGTCGTCCTTGGAGTATTGCAGGAATATGAAATGCTCTTTTACTGTCTCCATAACGCCCGGGTTTTTCCAGAGATCTCTATTTAGAACTTGGCAATCGAAAACAGATGCGTCCTGGATGTTGACTAGCAACCATTTCATCTTTTCCCGACCTTCATCCCGGGCCAGGTCCCAGGGGAGTTTCGACATGATCTCAAAGGGTGGACGGTACATTTCAGCAAGCATACTAGATTTGATAGAGGCGTTGGAAGCTCCACCCGTAGCCTCTGCTAAGGATGCCCGATGTGACGCCGAATCATCCTGATTCCAGATCGACGATGAGACGGGTCTTTGGTTGAAAATGCCCGGTCTACCTATGTTTCGCAAAATATCAGCCCACGAACATACAGAATGTTACAGGAAATAAAATAAAAAGCAGTAGACAAGCTACATACTTCCTCTAGCTTGCTGCCTAGCCCGCAACTGACGCATCACGGCATCATCCAGACCATCTTCGGCATCAAACCCCATACCAGGCCCGACCAGGGTCTCCGTTGTTCGGGCCAAGGGAGCGCGTACACCGCCCCCGCCTGCGGGACCAAAACTCTCAGCACCAGCATAAAATTCTTCTTGTAAACGGCGCGCCATGGCTTCGTCATCGTCAAATGTAGAATACCCTGCGGGTTGTGGTGGTGGCTGACCGGCAGAGGAAGCTGACTGGCGTGATGTCCGTACGGGGATATTCGTGCCTCCTCCATGTATATCGTTATAATCGTCATCAGAGTCCAAATGGACAACGCCGTGTTCGTCTTCGTAGCCTGGTGGTGGGCGTGAGGGTCGTGATGAGGGTGGAGGAACAGGCGGAGGAGAATGAGAAGTAGGAATTTGGTGTTGTGAAGGGGTGGGTTCCTGTTGGATATCAGCGCCTCCATTCTCGAAGTACAGCTGCATAGCGGTTTCGAGGTTGCCGTCGGTCAACTGCAGGTACCGGGCGGCGACCTCTGGGGAGGAACCCGTGATCTCAGTGAACCCTGCCACCGCGTCGTCCGCCATGGCAAAGGAGGGTGTTTGTGTTGTCTTCTTTGCTTTTTAGGGAGATGGATGTATTTAAGAAGACTTTCGGGTAGGTGTACGACAAATGAAGGAGGATATATGAGAAGTAGGAAGTTAAACTAATCAGAAAGCAGGCTGTCCTTTTGTGTCGTGGAGGAGGGGCATCAAAGGGAGGGAGGAACTAAGGAACACGGCAATAGCCGATGCAGTAAAGTTCAGTTGAAAAGGACAACAAAAAGATGAACATGCAGAATCAAGGGGATCGCCGTCTAAATGAGATGCTTCTAGAGTCTAAGATGGTTGGCAAAGAAACAGGAGGCGGATTGGGAGTTGACGTGAAGAGGTGACGGTCTGGAAATGATTATTTTGCCCGGCTCAAGGCCGCTGGAGAAGTGACGATATCTGGATGAGTCAGCATGTGGAGAGGGGGGGATCAGGAGTATAGTTATTCCGAACTCCAGGAGCTTAAGCGTGAAAATAGCATGGATACGGGAGGGAACAGAGACAGACTGCGCTATTATTTATGCACAGCTGACTCATCCAATTATCCATGGCTGCTAAAGTGGTTCGGATGGTCTCCCGTAGTTATAGGTTTGACTACGCGACCGACCCCGTTGGTTTGTTCATTGTGTGCTAGTAGCTAATAAGGAGTGTATGTAGTGAATAAAGAATAGTGGAGTAACTGTAATGCAAAAGAATTCATTTCTTTATTTAACATATATCATCCCTTACTTATTTAATCAGTATCATGTCTGTCCTCGAGTTAGTTATCAAGGGGTGCAAAATCGCCAGCCTGCAATATCCAGGCCACAACTTACAAGATGGAATGGACCAAGTGATTTAGCGTCAGACGCGTCGTGGCGTGGGGGTTCGCGTCTGGCAATCGTATGGCCACGCGTGTGCCTACTTAACGCGACCACTCACCCAATGTACCTTTTAAGCCCGCAGGTGGTAAGGGTACTTCATTCCTCGGCCTCAACTTCTCGCTGCTTCAACCGCCGCCAGGTATCTCCCCCCTCTCCACTTCCCTCTAAACCAGCGAGTGTTATCCTGCAATGGCTTCCTCCGTCGTGCTGGGCAAGAGACTGCGCAATGGTAAGTGCTTTCCGTGATTGATTAATTTCCTGTCAATTGCCCAATTTGCTGCAAGATTCTTACTCCTCGGGTATTACCTAGCAGATAATGCCTCCGTTGCTATATCGTTGCGCTCCAGCAAACGACAGGCCCAAGTCCTTCCTCAACCTCAAATTCACGAGGAGGAAGAGTCCAATGACGAGAATGACGAGCTCTCTATACCGCACTCAACCGGCTGCAGATCTAGACAGCGGCGTCGAGGCGTCACGACCACCACCAAACGAAGAACCCTCCCCGTTCGTAATGTGCGCTCGAAACATACCGTTCCTGACAAAACCATCGACGAGTCTATATCCCCTTCAAATACCGCTATTATACCGGGTAAGTTCTGATCTGGGTCCTCTCAATCTGATTTTCCCTCCGAGTTCGCCCACAGAGAAAGAAAAATGCTAACACAGTCCTTAAGATGAAAATACGCGCCCCTATGAATTCACCACTCCCAAGACACCATCCCGCTACAGAGATGCGCTCTCTCATAATAACGATAATACCAAAATTAAACCCGTCCCCGTTACTCCCAGACACCGCGTGCAAGTTTTCTCTTCGGGAAGACCCTTGACCCCGCGAACTCCACGCATGATCGCTTCCCCAGCGCCTGTTCAGACTGTCTACACACCGGCCCGTCAACTGTTTGCAAGGAGTGCTACCCCAGGTCGACTCGTGGGCCGGGACAGTGAGCGACAAGAATTGTCCTCATTCATTCAAAATGCGGTGCAATCGCGTCAGGGTGGTTGTATGTATGTCAGCGGACCGCCTGGAACGGGCAAGTCGGCCATGGTGGACGAACTATGTCAGGATCTCAGTGTGGATGTGGATCTGAAGAAGGAAACTATTAAGATCGCCCGTATCAACTGTGCGAGCATGACAAACTCGAAAGATATTTACGCGAAGCTTGCAGATGAGTTGTGTGAGGATCCGCAGCTGTTCAAGCAGAGTCGGACTGAATTGCTGGCTGGAATGTTCGTGCAGAAGAAACGCACGAGTTCTTCTGCTACGCCCTCCGCGCTCTTCCTCGTGGCGCTCGATGAGATCGACCACCTTCTTACCACTGACGTCGAAACCCTCTATACTCTCTTCGAATGGTCCCTACAGCCCCACTCGCGCCTTGTGTTAATCGGTATCGCCAACGCTCTCGATCTGACTGACAGATTCCTACCCCGTCTAAAATCCAAGAACATGAAACCACTGCTCTTGCCATTCTTACCCTACACCGCGTCGCAGATCGCCGGCATCATTTCTACCCGACTCCGCTCCCTGCTACCCACTTCTAATAACGCTAAAACTACTGCAACAATTGTTCCGGAAGATTTCACTCCCTTCCTCCACCCCGCTGCAATCCAACTCTGCGCGCGAAAAGTGGCATCTCAAACAGGTGACCTGCGCAAGGCGTTCGACATCGTCCGCCGCACCATCGACCTTGTCGAGCAGCAAACGCGGCAGACACAGAAGCCTAGCTCTTCCTACCAGTCGCCTTCGAAAATACCCTTAGTTGAGAATGCGAATCTAGCCTCCTCCTTGATTTCACCACCCGATACGCCATCATCATCATCATCTTCTTCTTCTTCGATGACTCCAGCTACGGCTACAGTGTATACACCCGTCACAGCACCCAGGGCAACGGTCGCACACGTCGCGCGTGTCACGGCCAGCGCTTTTGGTCAGGGAACTGTGCAGCGGCTGCAAGGGTTGAATTTACAGCAAAAGGCGGCGCTTTGCGTGCTTATTGCGCTTGGTCGGAGGAAGGTCGATAACAGAGACAGCGGTATACTAGATACGCCATCGTTATCTAAATCCCCACGATCAACGAAATCTTCTGTAGCTGCGGGAGTTGTTGCGGCACCAACAGTCAACGAGTTATTCGTCACGTACTCGGGGCTGTGTCGCCGGGATAAGATTCTGCAACCCCTCGCAGCAACCGAGTTTAGGGATGTTATTGGCAGTCTGGAAACGTTGGGGTTGGTTGGGGAGGCGCAGGCACAGGGCCGAGGACGCGGGTCTACATCCGCTACTGGTGGTGTTGGTGGTGGACCTGCTGGGTTACGGACACCCTCGAAACCGAAGACACCTACACGGATGGCTGGTCGCGTGACTGGGGCTGGAGCGGATGAGAGAATGCTTGTTTGCTTTGTGGGTGAGGGGGAGGTCGAGAAGCTTATTTGTGGGGAGGGAGAGGGCATTCTTAGGGGGTTGTTCCGAGCGGAGGTCTAGAGCTGTTAGTGTATTTGGTGGTGCATTGATATGTGTTTGTTTGCATTCATTTGCTTTGATATAGCATTTGCTTTGCTATGGCATTTGCATGGCGTTTTTGCGATGTATGGGTATACTTGTATTCTTTTCCTGGATGCAGATTCGATCCGGTTTGTATGACTGGGCTGGAGTTGTGTTTTTATATTGTTTTATTTTTCCCAATTGTTATTGTTATTTCTATCATTACCGAGTTGGAGTTCTGTTGGTGGTATTATTTCTGGTTTACCACTGGGCGTTCGTTTGTATGAATAAAATATAGTATGGGTATTGATGATAAGTTAATAGTCATAGGCACAATATAGAGTACACTCCGTATATTTTACATTCTACTCTCTTTCCCAGCATGCTGAAGTTTTGTATGCGGTCTTGAGCAATATTCTTATCACATTCAACTTCACAGTCAGTTATATAGATATAAATATATGACCCCCCAAACCACAACCCCCAAGGGACTCAGCTGAGGAACAAACATCCGCCGTGATATCTTCATATACAAATTTTTTCTGCATGGACACGCCATAGTTGAACGTATCCATCGGATGCGCGGGGTTGAGGATGGCGAAGTCGAAGCGGCGGAGTAGCTTGATATATCAACTCTTGTCAGCAATATCCAAAAAATAATAAAAGATTACAAGATAAATCCCACACACACCTCAACAAGCACCTTGTTAATCTCCAGCAGCGAGATTGGCTTTCCCAAACACCCCCATTTCCCCTGCCCAAACACCAGCTCCACCGTCCTCTCCATCCGATTCACGTTCACCCTCTCCGCCTCCCTTTCCCCATTACTCTCATCCTGAGAGAACTCCCTCCTCTCCAGCCACCGGCCAGGCGAAAACACCTCCGCGTCCCCACCAAACACTTCTTTATCCCTCAACACGGCCCTCGCACTCCATCCCACATTCGTACCCCCCCGGCACCTTCACACCGCACACCATGGCCTCTCGCGGACAGATGCGCGGCATGATGCCTGTGATCGGGGGCCAGAAACGGAAGCACTCCTTAATGCATGCTTGCAGGTACGGAAGGGCACGGGCTTCGGCGTCAGTGACTGGGGAGGAGATGCGAGATTGGGAGATGGCTCTGTCGATTTCGGAGGCGAGGGTTGTGTAGGTTTTGGGGGAGGTTGTGAGGAGGAGGAGGGCGATGCGGAGGGTTGTGGCGGTTGTGTCGGAGCCGGCGACGCTGGAGTGGGCGTGTTAACTATGTATATATGTGGATGGCTTCTATCTTGTTCAATTTTTTCTTGATTACTCCGCTCATGCACTTTGCGGTGAGGGAATATCTTGCATGCATCGTTTATATAGACAGACAGAGGGAGGAAGATGCTTACATCTGGACCAGGGATTCTGCTTCCGCATCCCTCTGGCTAAGGCCGTGGGCAACAAACGAGCCCAGCATGTCCGGCTTGGTGATTTTATTTTGGTCCATATCGCTCTGCGACGACTTCTTTGGCGATGCTGCAAGATTTGTTTTTTTCATGTTAACTCACTCATTCATCAAAAGTAATAGGTCAGAGGAACAGACCCCATAACCCTCCCTAAATAAGCCAACAACATCCCGTATGTGACGGTAGAAATGCCTTGAACAGGCGCGACTGCAACACATTCACCAACCCGGGCAGCAGAGCAATCATCTGCATGAGCGGCAGCGACTCCTCTGTCGTTTTGATGTAATCAAAGAGGTCGCCATGCTTGTCCAGGAACCCGAACGTACGCCCCGAACGCAATGGTCGAAATCACGTCAAGGGTCAGATACTGGACTTTGCGCGCAATATCGACTGGCCGCAGCTCCGTGTCAGTGCACAGGTACTTGCTCTCGATGAGCCGGATGAATTTGGCGACTTGCGTGTCTACTAGGTAGGGCATTGTTCAGCAATCTAAAAAATTTTGAGGTCCAAAGTGGCAGGGCGGAGGTATGTAAATCTTACGCCCGGAGCCAGCTTGGATCTCAGAACAGTGTGCAGCGTGTTATCACGCATGGACAGCGTGCAGTCTCTCGGGAGGATCGAGCTGGAAGAAGCCCTTGTACCAGGGCGAGCGATCCCATTCAGACCGAACTCCCCACATCCGTCGCACTTCGGCGGGATTGCCGCAGATAATATAATTAGGCGGCGACTCGCACAAGCGGCCCTGCGATCGCATGTCAGCTTGTTGAGAGAACTTGTTGCAATAATGGCAGCATAAATTTGGCTCGGGACAAATACAGATGGATAAAAAAGACGACCCTCTAGGAGACCGATGCGAGCCTCAGAATTGAGTGAGGCGCCCACTGTTGGCTAAATATAATATCCCAAAAACCCACGGGCACTCATTTCATAAATAAATAATTAATTAATTAAAAATTAAAAAAAAATAGCTATTGTTGTTATTGCGTGTATGTTTGAATCGATAGGATGGCCTCGGATGCTGGACATATAAATAATGCGCCAGTCGCCTCTTCTGGTATTTAAGTTATTTAAATAGGTTAAAATATCTTGCTTGGCTTCTAAATAAAAGTCAACAGAGCGATATTTATTTATTTATAATACTGGATTCTGTGGTGGTAAGTATGATATATTTAACTACCCTACCGTGCGATAGAGAAGAATAATAATAATCGTGATTCCAGTCCCTACTAATCTCCACGCTCATTCAGAATGACGACCTATTTACTTAACTACTATAAATATCTGTTGCATCATTGACATCAAGCGTCCGTGGCGTTGTAGTCGAGAATGGACGGACATACCATTCCATTCCCTCAGTAACTAGTGGGAGTAAATAAGTTGTTCCCTTTTTGCCTTGTTAACTAACTAAATATGTCACCATATTCATGTAGAGACTGAGAGACTAGACAGGGGGAATATGGCACAAAGGGTTCATCGTATTTATAGCTAGTAAAACCATCTTGAATAGCTTCCTACCTTGAGTAATCACCGTATCTAAATATGCAGCAGGATACGCACGGTGCATAGCCGACAAACTCACGTTCACTCAGGTTCAATCGGGGACTTGAAATGTTGTTGGTTCGGTTTATAATATATACCGTACTTTGGACAAATCTCTCACTCATACAGTACACGGACAAGTAGAACAAAAGATATATGTACTGAGGAACTAGAAACTCCTAAATTTTTGACGAAAAGGCAGTTGGGTATAGATTCGACGGGGGGGGGGACTCTTGGCATTCATACAAAGGAAATAAAGATCTTGAATGACTTAACACTGAAAGCGGGAAGGGGCTTATTGAGGGAAAATTTCGAACATGATTGTGATGGTAAAACGGCAGAAAGAAAATCAAAGAAGCTCGCAAGGACAAAAAAGGAGAGGGACAACTCAGAGCAAAAACAGATAATGACAAAAGGGGAAAAGAGAGTACACACACATTCCTTGTGAAAAGGAAATCATCATCGGGATCCACTTCGAAACGAAGTACGTGGTATTAGCAGAGCAAACTCGAGTTTAATATCACCCATCAACCACTAAGAAATAAGAGCAAGAAGAACAGAAACCCGCACTCGCTCGCCGGCACTCATGCATCCATCCACTCATGGCCAGACTTCTCCCCCAAATTTATCCCTCCGATGGACGCACCGTCAAAAAGAAGGATAGAAACCCCCTGGTCATTTCAATTCGTTAACTACCCCCTATACAACACACACATACCCACACTCACGCACCGCCCCACACGCTCAATGTCTCAAAACGTTAATCATCCATCGGCGCATCCTGCAATGTCACACCAGCTGGTTTCGGAGCCTCGGATGCATCCTTGTCGCTCTCTGCCATGCTATCACGCTTTAGACCTGTGATGCGGCTATACCGCCCGCTCGAACGGGATAAGGAATTGCTCTTCTCCATGTGATTGCTGTTGTTGGCGGTGTTGGCTGGCGCGATGGGGTCGGATAAGGTGGTGGTCGAGCTAATGCTGTCAGTCGCAGTGTGGTCTCCGCCAACCATGCTGCCGCTGCCGTTGGTGGTTATGGAGTCGCGGATTGTCGCGGATGTGAATGCGGGTTTGCCGGTACGGTCTGTGGCAGGTGACGAGCCGGTTGAGTCAGGTACCTCGAGGCTATGACGGGGTGCTCGACCCGTGGTAGATGGTGGAGGGCTGCTGACGTTGATGGGGAAGCGGGTTGATTCGGTTCCACTGATTGATTTATCGCGTCGGTGTCGGTTTGTGGGGGCGGGACTGTTGGCACGACTGCGGTCAACGATGGCTTTTTGGCGGGCCTCCATGTTTGCGCGCCGGTTGCTTTCGTCAGTGCTGATGGCGCGGGGTCTGGGCCCTGGCGCTCCTAGGTTGCCCAAAGTGCTTGATTGGCGCTTCAGTTCGCCGAAAATTTCATCCTTGTGGTCGAACAGGTCGCGGAGGAGGCGGTAGCTGTGTCGCTCATCCATGGTGAGGTTATTCTCAAGCCGTGGGCGGAGAATACAAGGGGCCAGATTCTGCGCTAAGGCTGTAACGTAAGCTTCGTCCGCGGATGTGAGGTCGATAAGGCGAGTAAAGTGAGTAATGATAGCGTCAAGAGTGGCAATGTTGTTTAGGCGGAGCTGTCCAAGTGTGCTTTGAAGAACCTTGACGCGGCCTTCTGCCGGAGCCTCACTCGCGGTGGTATAAACTGTCCTCACAATCTCGTAAACCTGGGACGAGACAAGAGAATCTACAGAATTGATTAGTTAATAAAAAGCCAGCGGGATAGGAAGAGTAGAAGAGGGTACCTGGAAGTTCCAGCAGATATAATTTCAAAACATTGGCCACCACAGGTATCTCGTATTTTTCTAAAATTTCATGGGTAAATGGCTTTCCATTATTCAGAGCATTGCGTAAATGATGGGCGACGACGAGAGGAACTTCATGCAGCCAAATAGCACGGCGCGCCTCATCTCCTTCGAGATCAGGATAGTCTGTCCCAAGGTTAGTTGCTGGAAAAAATTGTAATAATAGGTCTCATGATCTTACGATTGTCAAGGTAGGTCAAAATAGTGGTAATAAGGATAGGAACGCGCTTCCTATCCGCCCGAGCCCTGGCTTCTAAATCTACACCGAAAGTTTGTTCTGCGTTGAAATTAAGTTAGGCTTGCCTTCATTCTTTTCGACCTCAACGTAAAAGATGGCCATACCGTCAACATTTCCATAATAATTTTCATATGGCTGAACACGAGGCACAAATGCGCCAGTACGATAGTTTTCCAGCAAATATCTCAGGTCTCCATTGGGCTGGATAGTCTCCTGATATAGCATCATCTTGTCGACAGTGCTGCGCAGAGAAGGAACAACATTGCTAATTGCCCCTGAGAAATCTAACACAACAGCTTTGATAGCCTTCAAGCGATCTAGTTCACACCGTTCCATGAACTGGAGATAGTCCACCATTTCTTCCTCGAGATGGCATCGTAGGCGGTCGAGTTTTTTCACTGCGGATTTGTATCGCTCGTCGGCCTCCCGGGCTTCGCGCCGGAGTTTCTCCGCAGGAGTCTCATTAGGGTTTGAGTTACTAAGTGGGTTCCATTGAGAGAATAAATCAGCAACGGCAGCCGCGGTAGGAGAGTCCGCAACTTCGTCCCCGCCAGACCCCATCGACATTACCCGAAGCAGTTGCTTCTTTTTCTCGGGAATCCCTGAAATTTGGAAAGCTTTCGAACGCCACTGGTAATTCATTCGCGAGCTGTTGGCAAAGGTACTGCCCACGTTTCCAACAAGGCGCAAGAGACCAGCGTCCACCAGGTCCTGCCCGATTCTTTCTGCATAGCTGACAGTCGAAGCACCCATGTCCCTCTGAATAAACTCCACAATGTCTGCACCAGTAGATGTATTTTGATAGGTACCTAAAATTGGAAACTTGACTTCTCCAAGTTTAATAGATTCCAACATATGGGTCAACAATTTCTTTAGCTCCTCTGGTGGAAAAATTTTATCCCCCAGTTCCACTGGTTCAATGTCTTCTGAAGAATCAGGAAGTACGATGGTTGGTGGGGGAGGCGCTGCTTTGGGGCTGCTGGCGCTCTCCTTCTCGGGGCTTTGGAAAGCCAATTTGTTCTCCTCTTCCAAGTCCTCGACAAGGCGACATTTGTTAAAGTATTGGGTCCTTAATTTCTTCACCGTCTCTGCCTGCTTATAGTGCTCCTTAATCCTGATCTGGAGCTCTTCTTGGCTATTGAGGATTCGAAGTTCATGCTGGTCGGCCCAGCGACCAAACGGATTGACAACGAGTTCACGGATACTGTCTGCGATTTTCTGGTGGTTTTTTGTTGCTTCTATCATTTCGCTGCGGATTCCCTCGTAGGCCTATATTCGCAGTGGAAAAGATTTGCGTCAGCAAAGGAGCTAAACAGAACTGGTTTTCCAGCAAACTGACCTTTCGGACGCTGGCACCATCGTCTCTTGCAAAACCATTCGTCATGCGATCGATTGCGGGGGCTATTTCGCCAAGCTTTAAACTGTATTGTTCCTCTGCAGCAGCTCGCATGTTGGCAATAGTAAGGATTTGTTGATTTTCCACTATGCCCTGCTGCAACTTGGATATCAGGACACCCAGCCCGCTGGCATAGTCGGGTGTCCAGAACGAATCTGCAAACCCTCGCATGATGAAAATTGAAATTATCTCGTCGACGGAGAAAGTGAATAGAAAGGATAGGTGGCCGTTTCAAATGCGTACTGTGCGAACTCTGGGAGATTCTATATCGTCGTACAAGCCCGCTGCTTGGGTCAGAAACGCTGAATTGATCCGACACCGGCAGATAAGGTTGGCAAATGTATCAATAGGACGGAATCTAACTGCAGAGCCTAACGCAGGCCACGATTGCGAAAGTGGTGAAGACCTAGCCGGCCCAGAAGTGAAGGACTCGGGTGTGTAGCACTGTGAAACAGGCAATCAAGCGAGTGGGAGGTGGCCGTCGTGATGAGAGTAGCTACGTAGGAGTGAGGATGATGAAAGCGATGATGATCAACGACTGTGAGGCAGCAAAGAAGTGAGAGAGAGACAGAAAGAAAACGAGAAAGGGAGAAATGAAGCAAAAGAACTACCAGGGCTGAGGTTGATCTGTCAGTTCAGCCCATACGAGGTTGCGTGGTTGGCGGCTTATCGAAGCCAGCGTGAGAACGGCGCAGCGGCGGGCTTGGCACCTGGTAACCGCTGACTCAGCCGCGGCTCAGGGCGTCAATTACGGCAGCCGGCACGAGCCAGTACGGCCATCTTGGCGGTGCGTAATTTACAGTCTATTTTTAGCCATAATTACCAGGTACCTGAAACTCTACCATTCAAGCCGGGTGCGGCTGAGTTACCCCACTAGCTCAGCCGCAATCTAAGAGCTTTCTATTCGGTTGTCCATAAAGACCGTCGGTGCAATACCGGAGTAACTTCCTACCAGGAATTTATTTCAAGCCGTAATACTCCGTAATTAATGCCGGCTTGATTTCTGACGCTGCTTCACTTCGATCAGAAAGATAATTCGGGTTAACGTGTGTGCGCTCATACGGAGTATACGCTGTATGGCAACATAGATGTCGCATATAAGCACCGGTTTTCGTCTTGGTTTACACATCCCCCATTAGGACGTGACCCTGCCAATAATAACATAGACAAAGGCCGTTCCTCCCGCATATGTCATATGTCACGAAAGTTCAAAAGAAAGCGGGATTGAAACACAGAAAGCCGTGTTTAATTCTCACATTCTCTTCCTTGATTTCCTTGCATCACATCGGGATTTATTTGCAATCAAATGCAGCTTGGGCTGCATAGCATTGGCCGGTACGCGGGGCCACCGTCAATCCAATATCCAATACCGTACTATATGTTGGGGGTCCGGGTTGTACTTACTCCAGCTTCATGTATCGCCTCCTTCCCCCAAGATCGGCTATATTGGTTGCTTTCTTAGAACACAATGAATGGAATACCTTCATTTTATATACATAAAATGCTTGCAGGGTGGAATGAGATGCTTGGGGTTGCAGATTCATAATGAAAAACTCGCTTATATGTGCGCAATTTCCCCCATATTATTAGAAGATGCCTTGGTGCGCAAGGATGAGCGGATTTCCTGGGCCAAGCATCTCTTCTAACGCATACTCAACCTTCTAGTTAGATACAAAGAGTTGGACCCTTTACTGCGTTGCTTTACGGCTCCAAGTTACAGAGAACATAAACCGCCGTCTGTGCTAGTCTCCGATCCATTTACTCCGTGAAGGAATCTTTACCCAGCTTGTGTCTAAGTTCCTATACCATTCTTTGGGAGGTAATCTCCGTTAAGTAGTCGACTGCTTTAACATCCGGGCCTCTCATAGACCAGTTGGCGAACCGAATTGAGGTTTTCACGCAACATCTGGACCCTGTCGGCTGTTTGCGCTTAGTGCATCGGGAACGTTCATTCCTTTCAAACGTTCGTCTATATCTTCAGCATCAAACGCGCCATCATGGTGGCTGGGTATCAATGCCTTTACACAATCAGTACATCGCGGGCATCCGTTTCATGGGGACTTATTACGGTCATTGGCTTAGGCTCCCTGTTGGATGGTCTTCTCTATTGACAATATCTCTCCGGATAAGGAAGACGGTTCTACTGGGCAATCTTTCTGCTCATCGGAAACAAAGGGATCTAGAGAATAAAGGTACGATAGGTGTATTAGCGACGCCATATCAAATAATTTGGTTCCTAGTAGTAGACATAACTGGCTACTCAGAACTACATTTAGGGATTGGTTTCAAAGCCGGAGATTGGAAGATTCTTCCTTCGAGAATCATGCTGCCGGAACTGTATCCTCGTTCGCCTGGGATCCAACCACGGCCAACCACCTTGGAGAACGGGTTAACACCTTCCCATGTTTCCTCGAAATAACTTCCTTTTTATCCCATCAATTCACTCCGCTCCCAAATCAGAAACTTCGATCATGCATAAACTCTCCGATTTTTAAAGGGAAGACTTCTCGCTGCTTGCTCGGAAAAACATCTGGGCCAGCAACCACCCCTGGCGCCCTTACGGGGAATTACTGAATGTCAATCCTTTGGGAAGACAATTCCAAGTATCCTTCCTATAGCCGTGGCGCTAGTATATCCTTCATCTTAGCCATGGCAACAGCTGCGTGCCGCCGCATTATTTCTCACAAAGGAGAATAATTCCCTCCGGCCGTGTCAAAGTGGTATGGTAATCTGCGGCCCGAGCATATCGAATGTGCCTGTATGAACTTCCGCATTCCTCGACCCCTACCCGAGGAACCTGATAGTTCGCACATTCCTCCCACGCGCATCTTTTACACATGAGCTAATCCCTATCAAGGATATCCGGAGGACATCCGCTGGTAATGGTGAGAAAGAAAGTTTATCTCACACAGGGAGGTTGTCATTTGCCCCAGCACTGCACCTCCATAGATTTTGGGCTCTCAGATCATCACCCAGGCATGCATAATATATTATAATATTGAATCGGCAATCGATCAACGCCCACTAGCCGGATTGAAGTTGTGGCCAGTAATCCCGACAGATTGTCGTCATTCACGTGCGGCCGTTGCTGCTGCCAACGACACTTTGCGGGTGTTGAAGGGTCGATCGGATGTTGGTATGTATTTGGAACAATCAGTTCTTTTAGCGGCCGGATTTCTCGTTGGCTTTCTATATCGTCTAGTTTTGGTAGGATAATTTATATAGTCACCCATGACCGCGTGCGATGCATGAGAGCGTTTTGACTAAAAATGTGTGCCAAATACAAAATTACAGGGTGCTCATTCACTTCCTTAAATGGGTGGATGAGCCCCTAGACAGACGCTGTCCATGAACTGTAATATTAAATCAATCTCTCATGCAATAGATAGAAATTTTCCTTTCCTTTTCTTTTGCTTTAGCTCTGGATCTGTGCAAAATAGCGTCTGCTGGTGAGAATCCAGAGCGAAAAAGTGGTTATCCCCTCTGCTAGTAAGGACGCCCCTCTAACAATGCCTGCCCTATTATACGAATGGACATGAGTGGCCGAGGAATAGATAAAGTCTACCCGCTTCCTCCAGCAGGGAGAATCATTGGTGATGATTGAAAACTATATTATCCATACTCCTCATCCCACGCGAAGTCATTAACGATGTCGACACGAAATAATGGTGACAACACAGCGACGGACATCTTTACGACAAGAGTCTTCGAATGGAGAGGTTAGACGAGACGCATTTACAAGGATACCATAACATCTGGTCAAATCCATTGGCAGCCAAGTAATTGGAGGTGTGGTAGAAATCTTGATATTGACCAATTCATCCGCAAATCCTCTGTCCTGCCTCTCCCCGCTTGTTTGTAGTTAAGCTGCCACGGATGTACAGTTACCTACCTGCTCGTGTAGGTATGTATTCGCGTACAGTACTGGTTGTAGCCCTACCTCTGGCATATTTTGTAATGTACATGTATATGCTATCCTGGGTTGCTGGGATTGCAGGTACGCGTGCGTACAAATGCGTATCTACTACGTCAACCCCTCGGGCAATAAAGCCCCAAATATAAAAGCAAGAAAAAGGAAAATAACAGGAAAGTAGAACAAAAACAAGAGCAATGCCCACAATTGCAACACACAAACAAGAAATGAATCCTAGTCAATATGACTAACACCATTTGTGTCCCCGTGTCTTGGTGTTCTCCTATCTTCCCCGCGGCGTCAGCAAGACCTCGAAGATAGCAATTCATGTCTGGCGTCTTACGACAGAATAACCCTCGCGGAGAAACGTTCGCTGTCTACCTCCTCCCTTCCTCGGAGCCTCTCGAATCTCCCCGCGACTCTGTTTCACCGTCTGCTCTTGTAGCGGACAAGATGTCAAGGACCACAACCATTCCTGCTACAACAATCACGGCTACTACAGATGGGCAGCTGTCTGAGCCTGGAGATTTCAGTATCAATCCCAGTGAAGACGCATCCACTGAGAATCCACCAATGACCATGATTGGTGTCGTGGGCCGCATGGCTCCGACCTAGTTGCGGAGCTGGGTTACATCTTTCACCCCTCTGCATGAGGAAAAGGATATGCAACTGAAGCAGTCTCCGCGTTCGTGGATAGGTTCTAGGGAGAGCAGGTTGATCCGGAAAACTTTGCTTCTACTAATGTGTTGGAGAAATGTGGGTTTGCTCTCGTTGCGGAGGCGAATGAGGATGGCGAGAGACTACTAATTTTTAGGATTTTTAGGACTAGGATATGACTAGGGAGCATATAGTTTCGGTGTTGTATGGCCGTTGTGGAATCCCTAATTGAGTATATGTTTGAGAAAACCCATGCTATTCTAGTATATTACTCTGTTATATAATATAATATTTGCGTATGAGCTGCCTCATAGATATTTCTTAGGATTTACAAACCCATTTTTCTAGATAGAACAGCATTTTGCAGGGAAAGGTAATGAGAAAATGACAAGGAATAGGGTAAGGAATAGGAAACATGCGAGGAGAGAAAAAATACAGTAAGTGAACTTAACTCGTCGGCAACCCCGAGACTTTGAATAAGGCCCTCCTTTTCCCCGGATAGCTCTTTTTCCTCAACGTACAAAATGGACAATATTCCAAAATTTTCGCCAAATAGATGTTACCGTTGAGTTTTTAACCTGTAGATCAACCCCCGGAAGTTGAGGAGGAAAAGGTGGGGAAAAATCAGCACATTTGTCTTTGCCTCTTGGGTTGCAAATCTTCCTCAACATCTAGTTCACGAACCTGTCGTTTCTTTGCCCCGTTTACGCCATGGCCGTTGCTTACAGGAACTTCCTTTGGAGGAATGTGAGTGGCTGGCTTCGGGATTCCATCTCTGGCTCCTGGGCTGAACACTTCTCTCTTGGGCATGTAGTAGCTCTGGCCTAACATGTGCAACTTTCGTCGATCGGTCTTGTTTGATTTCGTGCGCGGTATTCGATCGACGAGCAGGAAGAGCGTGGGGATTTGAATTTCTGGTAAAGTAGCACCAATCGCCTTCTTGATCAATTCGACTTTCGAATATGCGCTGTGGTTTTCGTTAATTGTTCGGAAGGTAATTGGTTCGTTGGGCCAAGCCTTGCTGCTCAGGTTCATTGGATTGTCTGCAAGGTAAAGAAAGGCGGTAAGAATGGGACTTTCGACGCCGTCTATGGCGCCAAGTAAGTCGACAACAATGGAGTCTTCGGGTGATAGGCATTTCCTCGCAGTGTATTCAACCTCGATAGCGTCGACCCTGCCGCCATCAATCTTCAAAAGAGTGTCTTTTCGTCCGACGTAGGTTAGGGTACCGTCGTGGTTGTATTTTACAAGATCGCCAGACCTATATAGTCTGGCTGAGGATGCTCTCTCGGGATGCAGCTCATGGAGCCATTTCGGCGTACACTGTAAGAATCCGGCTTCGGATTTTCTGGATATCTGGTCAAGATACCCGCGAGCAAGATGAGGGCCTTCCATTATCATTTCTCCGACAGCGCCGACAGGCATGAGGCGGTCCGGACACGAGGGGGAGACAACCCAAGCGGCGCCTGTCCCAGTGCGCCCGACGTTGGTTCCGCTACCAGGGCTCATGTCATCGTTGTACGTGCAAAACGTAGCGACTTCGCCCATGCCATACTGATTAACAAGTTTTACCTTCCCAGCCCATTTCGACAATAGGTCGTTCGAAGGCGGTTCACCGCCGATGCAGAGTATTTTGAGGCCTGGAACATCCTCCGGACCCAATTGAATGGCAACTGTCGGTGTAAGAAACGATATATTTGCACCCAAGTCGTTCATATGTCTTGTCAAAACATGAATGGCCTTCTGCGGATGTGGAACGCAGCAACATCCGCCAACGGAAAGTGGTACGAGGTAGTCATTGTTGCTGATGTCGAAAGCATAGTCGTCAAACTGATACATTCTAGTTCCTGCATTGAGCCCCAAGATCCTCGAATAATCTCGGACGGCCGTGGCATAGGTCCGGTGCTCCTGGATAATCCCTTTCGGTTCCCCAGTGCTACCCGAAGTGAACAAAATCAAGCCTGTAGGTTACATCAACATACTAAATCTTGGCAATTTCAAGGGAGCCACTTACACGCATTGTTTGGTCGTACAGTCGTACAAGCTGGTTCCACCTGTTTGGGAAGACTCAGGATTCCCTCCTTGGATAGCTCGACGATGTTTGGAACTAGGCCTTGGAATTGGCTAGAGAATTCGGCAACAGTGAGCATGATTTTAGCATTAGCGCGCTGGATGACGGAATTTAAATACGCTGGAGGGTCAGCTGCATCTATCGAGATATATGCACCACCAGCTCGTAGGATTGCAAGCCTCGACACAATGGCCCAAGTTGATTTCTTGAAACAGCTAAGGACGAAAACTTCGGGTCCCACGCCTAGATCAACAAGATGATGGGAAAGTCTCGATGTCAGATCATCCAACTCTCCGTAAGTCAAATCACCATCCCATGAAACCACGGCCATAGCGTCAGGATTCGTGCGGCTATGCTCAAGAACCATGTCATGGAGGCAACGTTCGTTGGACTCAGAAACATGACTAGTGAGTTGGGTAATGTGTTGTCGATCGTGCGCTGAGCACATGTTGACTTCCTCCACTGTTATATCCGGTGACATACGTATAGATGTTAAGGCATGATTGAACGTATGTAGGACACTTAACGCAAGTGGTTCGGAGATAGTCTGCTTCGAAAAAGCGAGTTGGGCAAACAATTGGCCGTCTTTTGCATGGGTAATGTCAAGGAAAACGTCGGCCTAGCAAACAATCAGCAACGAGAAAAATGATTGATAAGCTTGCCTCTGAAAAGGAAGTCAAGGCAGAAACATTCACTGAAACAAACCTCGGAATTCTTTTCCGAATTTAGAGTTGAAGCATTTTGATAGCGAAAGGCAGTTGCGAATAAGTCTGGTGAAATCTCAGCATCGGAACTCCCGTTTTGTTTCGATGAAGCGTATTCAACAGCTCCGCGTTGTAGCGTGGCTAGTTTGCGCAGAACTTGTGGCAAACTGTCATCTGGTTCAATACTTAATAATCGATTGCCGAATTGCGATCCCTGCCCAGTTGAGAGTGCCTTCAAACATGAGACGCCCGAATTTGGATCCCAGTCGAACAAGAGGGAATTCGCGGAGGTGAAACAGCAGGTGGTGAGAGCCCAAGCCAGCTGGAGGATTTTAAAAGTGTTGTCAGCACCGGCATGGTTTCCATGACGGACGGCTCCGTTTGTGTTCGTCGTCAAAATATGTTCGAGGGTTTCCGGGCCTTCAGATAGAACCAGCTCGAGATGGCCGATTTCCGAAGGCACATGGTTAGCAGGCTCGTGTAGCACGGACTTTGAAGAGGATGTATTGCTTTGGTAAGGAGCAAAGGTATCGTTTTCAAGGATCGATGGGGCCATTGTGCAAAAATGAATAGTCAATCTATTTCCACGACAAGATCTAGCTAGCTTCCAGTTGATAAAGTGAGATTTCTTCCAAGTAAGAGACAGAATTATAAAAGAGAAGAAAGGTTTGAGGAGCAGCTTGTCCTTAGGCATGAACTATATATCCCCTGCACAACTTCGTATAGCGTCTTTAAATAGCCCCTCCGCAATGAACTTGTCGCAAAATTACTGCTCCCGAAATTTCTTCCCGAAGAGCTACCGTAGCACACGACGCCTTTTCATCATCATACGGAGCAAGCTTGGCTGGTGAGCAAATGAACCCCAAAATGCGAACTCGACACAAAACCTCTCAAAAGAGCTGGTCTTCAGGGTGCTACGAGCTGATCAGTGATGAGCTTCCCTACCGATGCCGGGGGTGGGGAAGCATGTTTTGGGATGTGGCTGCCCGCAGAAAAAAGATGAGGTTCTCCTGTGAATACATTGGTTAGTCGGTTCAGGGCGTGTTGTCAGTTACAAGCATCTCCAGCCAGTAAGACCAGCGGGTGGGAGGCTTCGCTGGATGCATTCTGCATGAACAGGTCGCCCAAATATTGAGGATTGGAAACATGGCTGGTCGTTCGATGGTCGTGAATGGCTGGCTGGATCATCTAAATTTCCGGGGGACGATGATTTAGGGTTGAAACTAACCCAATCAGATCTAGTTGATCCAATCTCTTTGCCCACTCTGATCCACCGAACCATTAAACTATCAATCTTAATCTGTACTAGTGCCGGCTCGAATCTCCACCCAAGGCGACCCACCTACACATTCTTAAACGCTAACCTAGAGTAAGTTTAGCGCGCACTTAACACAAACCTTCAGCCGACGACTCGAGCCTTGATACCTGGGCAAAGTCCATCAACTGAGCAACAACAACAACAACGACGTCCTTGAAGACAACTACAGAGAGAGAGGCTAGATCTCTCCTTGGATGCATGTCTCTTAACCATCAGGCTCAGAGGTTCTTGCCACTTAAACGAATGTGACACAGCTGTCCTCCCACGCACTAACTGCGTCATCCCACTCGGATTCGACATGTTTGTTTGAGGAATCAATGAAATCGAGATTCATGCGGGCTCAGCCGCCACAAGCCATTGATCATCAATTGATTTTCAAGACTAGTCATGGTTCTGAAGAAGTACTTTCTGCCGCACCTGGTCCTGTACAGACCCCGCCGTACTTCCTTGTAACTAAGTAACTAATCCTAGGTTCTCAGTGGTTAGTCCTCATCCTCCCCCGTGGCTGAGATCTATGCGGTTGCAAGCCTCCAGTCCCACTTCGAGAGCCATCTTTTTTACTTTTTTTAACGAATCTTGCTAGTGAGTGAGAGGAGCTTCCGGAATGGAGGCCCTACAGACTATCGCCTTTAGCAATTTATTTGAACCTTTGGAAGAGCTTCTTCAAGAATAAATTACTGTCTCACGGACGCGGCGTTTAATACTATTAGCTACAACTCAGTACTCAGTATTAGTACTCAATGGGTAATCGGAACTAAAATCGCAACAAATTGGACCATAAAGCATTTAATCAAAAGCATAACTAAGAAAACCAGAAACGAGAAACCACATTCCCACGCTTGAGTGTTCCAAATTTTGAACCTAATGTACTACCCCATTCATTTTGGGTTCTCCATGTCCATTTGTGAGAGGTCGATCTGCGCCTTTTGTCTGTGTTTGGTCGAGAAGCTTCGCTCCCCACTTTTCTGCGCAAGCTGGAGCAATTGGACCCCAAAATTTTGGCACCAATTCTGCAGCTTGCATAATCACCTCGAAGCTGTGGAAGCCTCGTTGTGCATGCGTCTTGGGGACATCTGCATCCGGACGCTCGAGTGACCTGCTAAATACCTCCATCGACAATGGGCCTTCGTAACCCGCTGCGAGGATAGCCGCTGTAATTAATTCAACGGGCATGTATGCTCCCCGCTCCTCTTCCATGGGGAACAGTCGAAAATTCCTCGACCAAGGCAGCAGCTCGTGTGCATCGGGGTTTTCGTATCGAGTCAGGTTCAAGGTTGCTGTGTCCACCAGCTCTGCATCCGCGATTTGGAGGAGAAATATCTTCTCCGCAGGCACTGAAGCCACCATAGATGCAATGGATGAGCAGAGAACATCAAGCGATTCTTCCAGCGTAGGATAGATGCGTCCATGGCCCTCCTTGTTGTACGGGTCGGCGAACTCGACTGCGAGCCAATTAAAGGAATCGACGATTAGGCCAACATTTGGTCGGTTTACCGCACGGACTACCTCCCATGTGGATGACCAAGTGTTTCGTAGTGCCCATGAAAGCCCCTCATACCCAATCTTGATCATTGGGCCTCCATCCCGTTTAGAGAAGGCTGCTGCCATATCTCCAATCTCTCGCAGGTCGTTTGCCACGGTTTTCAGCTCAATTGTGCTATTTTCGGCTCCGATATTCGAGACTAGAAATAGCATATCTGTATCGAATGCTCGCAGGAAGGGGAACCGATTCACCACTGAAGCCAAATTCGCCATGCGCTTTTTGGGATCCGTGAACCCTTCAATCTGGCGGACCGGCTGAGCACAGACAATTGACATGTTCAGGTCTTTTACCAAGTTGCCTAGCTTTTTGGCAATTGCTAACTTTTCAGCTGTCGGCTCCCAGATTTTGTCGTCGTCGACAGCGCCGAGGTGCGATCTCAAGTATTGTGCCCAATCATTCTCCATCAAGTCAATAGATTGAAACCCAGCATCGGCCGCCTGGCGGAGCCTGTCAGGTAAGCTATGATATTTCCAGCTCCCGAGCGAAACTGTTGCAATTGCAGCACGATTTTTCGACAGACGCGGACCGATCGCCATTTTCGAGGATTGTGGATACTGGACGAAGATAAGGGGAAATTAAATCGCCTAGACAATTTCTTGACTTTCTTTTTGAAATGAGGCACAAACAACTTCATCGGGCAGGTCCGAAAGATTGTCGTTGTTGGGGAATTAGATGTGGGAGGGGTTGCAAAATGAAGCACCCTGTAAACAGTATGGAGATCTCTCTGTACACACCAAAGGTGAACTTCACAGCCTCTTTTATAAGTTAATATTCTTTCCTTCTCAGCTCCGTAGTTTACAGAGGTTCAACATCGGAGGGTTAGGGAGGGTGTTTGTATTATATAACCATAGCATGGCGCTCCTGAAAAGCATCACCTTGACGTATGCATGCCAGGTGGAAGAACACAAAAGTGTTTCTAAGCAACCCTATCACAACGATCCAGGAGGGCGAATCACTCGATCAATAATAATCCAAATTCTTGACATTCGTCCTCTGGCCTCAAGAGCCAACAGAAGAAGAAAAAACAAAACAAAACAAAACAGTCCAAACTGAAACTCTCCATTGCTAATAGGAGAGGTACTGTGCGATCAAGAAGTCAGTGTACTAGGGGCTCGGCACCAAGCATCCCCTCATATGCCCCTCTTTTTCCTTAATTTCTCAATCACCCAACATTCACTCTATGAGTCAAAATATGTCTTTCAAATCAAGAATATTGTATAAAGAGCATTCTTCAGCTATTATCATTATCAAACCCTTGACGTGCCTGAGCTGGGGATTTACAGAATCCCGGCCCCTCCTCTTGTGCATATGCTCCATCCACGCCCCTGGCCAGGTTACCCCAGCTCGCCACTGCCGTCTAGATACGAAAGTGGCTTGTATAGGTTTTGTACGGTGTAGTCAGCTCATAATTTTTCTTTTCCTTTCTCCCTTGTGCAGAGCTGAGCAAGGTTGGGCCTAAGTCCACCAATGAACATAACCCCAAACCCTTCCTTTGGTTTCGTTTTCTCCAATTCCACTGGAATTGCACGAGCTGTGGTCCCCCGCTCCAGCTACAACTCCTACCAGGAGAGTTCCACTTTGTTTCTCCTATTTCATCTAAGGCATTGCCGACTTAAATCCCACAGCAGGGTTACAACGGCTAAGAGCTTCAATTATTTGAAATGAATAGGTCGTTGTCGCTGTGGTGCTAAATAAACTGCGAGACTGAAATCAACTTCCAGACCCTAGGATGAAATAAGCAGTTTTTCCCTGCCCGGATCTACGCAGCGTAGTTATATTAGGGAAACTTAACTTACTCTGTTGAAGTAGTTAACTAACGTTAGCTCCCACCGTCGCCTGTTTGTCGTACGCAAGTTAACCTCCATTGTTTTCCAAGATCCACCGCCGACTATCTCCCGCCTGGCCCTAAATTTGGGATTTCAAATTCCCTGCAGAAACTATTTGAGAAAATGCCTGCCCAAATATGGGAGTAGGATTATTTTTGAGAATCCTCACAAGGACAGTTTGAGAGCTTCTCTTAAATTCCCCACTTTTCAGAAATGGATACTCCGTGCAATGTTATGTATGTGGTACATGTGCAGTACTTAATTGAAAAATGGGAGGGCTCTCACAAAATCCCGAAAAAGTACTGCACGGCGAAAACATTAAGAGTACAAAGCAAAGTACCTAGGAAGCTCTGAGCATGATTTAGTGGTATTCCTGCATTCATTCAGAGCGGCTATTAGACAGTGTCATTCTGAAAGAATCTACTGCCAAAGCCCTACTCTTCCTGCAACACTCATTCCTTCGTCAAAAACAATACACGGCCCAGAACACTGCATATAGGACACAGAACACAGAACAGGTAGCAGTGGCCCTCTCCATTCTCTTTGTGAAGTTGAAGTAGAGAACATATTCCAACATCCATCTACATTCCGACACTTCCTCGGAGGAGCTCCTGAATTCTCCACTTATCACGCTGCTATCTAGACCGCTCTGTGTACGCCCTCACATACATGATACAACGTCCACTTGATGCGGATAATGAAGTTAACATTGCACCACTCATCGTCGATGCCACAGTGCACTTTCGGCCCCATCTAGACGAGTCTCACATGAAATCTGTCTGTTTTGTTATCCTAAACACTGTCCAGCAGACCATTGCTTGAGCCAAAAAGTCGAAAATATATATAGATATATTGTCAACGGCCGCTGGGGGAGCGGAGTGTGTGCTCCCACACTTCATATCTGAATCTTTATCGGCAACATAAGACATCCCACGGAATCTCGTCCAATCCTTGGTCTAGCAGACCGTCAACATTTCAACGGATATAAACACTAGCTTCTCTCTAATTCTCTGTTCCGCGTGAACGCGTGCCCCACGACATCTATCAGGCGGACAGTAAATGTCTCCGTTTTCGGAAGATGTCCAGCTACTCGTGCTTCATCCTTCGGTCTCACTACGAGGGGAAAGCTAGTTCATACATCCCGTAATTTTGAGTTTGTATCCGAGGGTGACTCTGCTTCCCTTATTTGGCGCCACACCACCCAATGCCGAGGTGGCCCCTCTCTCCCGCAAACCCGAACAGATCAGCAAGTTCGGCCCGAGTTAAGTCGATGCTAATTAGACTCTCTTGGGACGGCTAAGACCTATATCCCGTCGGGGTGTTAGCCGATGAAGGTTAATGTACACATGTGTACATGTACATGTACATGAACTGTACGTGTAGATACAAATGGCCTTTCGCAGGATAACTAGCAACTTTCCTCAATTCCTTCTAAACCGTCCGAACTACGTTTATCGCAATGGTCTCCTGCCAACAACCAAAACGAAACTCCTGCTAACATTTTTCAACCGATCCATTCGGGACCCCAAGTGCTAATCCAGACATCATATTCACTGTTAGAATATGTAATTAAACCCAAAAAGGCAAAAAGCAAAACCATGGAAGGGAGGAGGGGCCTTTCAAACGATTGATTATTTCAGTATTCACACATGTCAACCTATAATTATTAGACCCACCCGGCATTCCCTTCTATCCATATACGCCCACGAGCCCTAGGGAACTAGCATAGTAGAAAATACAAACGAAGAACATTTTTTGGTGTTAAAACCATTGAACCTAAAAAATAAATATAAAATAAAAATAAAATAAAAAAGTATCATGCCCTTAAATTCAGACTGATTTCCCGGGTCCCATTTAACTATGGCTTCCCCTTGGCATATGGAGATCTTTCGCTGGTTTTCTCTTAACGAAGATGTATATACGCTTGGAATAGTAGGGACAGAAACGAGATTTATTAGCCCTGCTCCTTTGAACTAACATCAGCCGATGATTTTATGGGTAGCAGATAGGGGACCCGTAAGAGAGGGAATAAATTGCGCACCAGGACCTTTCAGCAAAAAGTCTTGTAGACCTTTTTCCACATTGGCCACTGGGCACGTTCAGCACGTTCTTCTGCGATCAAGTGTGAGATATCGAGGTCACGACGCCCAGTGTCGAGATCCATGTCTCTGGCGTGTATAATTTTAGTACGATACCAGAACTTGTATGGAAAGTAGAATGAAATAATAATCGGCACCGCCACGTAGAGTTCAAACACGTTTGCGACTCGCTCTTTCACAGTCATCTCGGCGAAACCAACGGGGGCAATTGCAACCCACAATTGTGCCGTGAGGACAAGGCAATTGAGTATCAGGCCAATCCACGATCCGACTACACCTGCTTGAGAACGGTAGGGTAGATCATCAAGACTGCGTCCCTGGAGCTTCCAACCACGACGAAACCGGATATGGGCGAAACAGACAGACGCCCAGGTAAAGATGGAGGACAGTGCGGAAATCGCAAGCATCCAAGAGAATATCGCACCTTGCTCTTTCTCTGCAACAGCAAGGTAACCAAGCAGTCCGACAACGGAAGAAATGCCGATTGCAACGAGTGGGCGGCCCCGACGATCGATATAGGTCAGAACATGAGGAGCCTGGCCTTGCTCAGCTAGGGCTGCAAGAGTACGTGAAGAGCCGTATATTGAAGAGTTCCCAACTGAAAGCACGGCAATCATGATAACGACATTCATGACTGAATCGAGCCCTTGGATCCCAGCGTTTCTTATTGCTATCACGAAAGGAGAAGCGTTGGCGTCGTAGCTGGATTCACCAGTTACCAATCGCACATCATCGTATGGGACAAGCAGTCCGACTATGGCCAAAGAGACGACATAAAATAGGGTTATCCGCCAAAAGACTTGCTTAACGGCTGTCGGTATTGTTCTTCGGGGGTTGGCAGTTTCTGCAGCAGCCAGACCCACCATTTCTGTGCCGGCGAAGGCGAAGGCAGCAGTAACAAAGACGCTACAAAGTCCCTTAAATCCGTTATGAAATGCCCCCGGGTTGCGCCAATATCTGCCGCCGATATATTCCCCGTTTGGTCCGCCACCAACGTTTAGAATGACTCCCAGAATACTATAATAGGGGAAAATTAAATGTCAGCGAACACAAAATAGCCGTGGCAGAAGGTAGAGTGGGTACGTACATAAATCCGATGATCGCAATAACTTTGATAAGGGAGAACACAAATTCAGCTTCACCATACCCACGAACGCCAAACAAGTTTATGGATACAATCAGCAAGTAAAATATGGTGACCCAGACCGCAGGCGAAACTGGCGCGTTCCAGTAGCTGACGGTTATAGCAGCAGCCACAATCTCCAGGGGCAGAACTATAATCCATTGTAAACCGTAGTTCCAGCCCATGGCAAATCCCCAGGCCGGATCGATAAAGCGGGTCGAAAATGCAGAGAAAGATCCGGCAACCGGGAAAAGCACGGCCATTTCACCTAATGCATGAACAGTTGAATATAACATAACCCCAACAAGGATGAACGCGATCAAGACGGAAGCAGCTCCGCCATCTGCAAGAGCCTTTCCGGACCCAACGAACAATCCAGTACCTGGTATGATACGTGACATTATGTTAGTCGATAATATTAATGGAATTTAGAACTTTTGACGTAAAATCAATAGCGAGGGCTACTAGCTCACCAATAGATCCTCCGATTGCTATCATCTGCAAATGTCGGCCTCTCAGTTTACGTTGCAAAGGGGACGATGCAGTGTTGGAAACGGCCGCTTCCAAGTTAAATTGCTTGTCCTGAGTGGTCAGAGCCTCTTTTTTGGTAATGTGGGCATTAGGATCGCGGCGGAAGCCGTCCACGAAGCGAGCAAAGATGTTATCATGGAATCCCTCGGATGTCCCGTCGCTACCATCGACTGGGTTCGCATTGGGAGGTGTAGGCTTTGGTTCCTCATTCGACGTGTCCGCCATTATTGCTCTTCCAATTTTCACGTTCTTTGTGAGAAAATTGTATGAGTATTAAAAGCTGAAATAAAGACGAGAAGCCTAGGAGTTGCGGTGCCCCTTATTTCTCTCCGCTGTTTCCCTGTATAATCTTATCTTTCATTAGCCCTGCTCTAGGCGTGAGAAGTGAAAGCAATCAGGAGATATGGGCATGGGCGGATTCATGAACATAGGGAGCTGCCATTGGTCGAGAGGAGAATAAAAGAGTCTTGAGCAATATACGAGAAGAGGATAAACAGAATGAGAAGCTCAAGAGTAGCGTAATATGTCAGATATTGCAAAAATAATCCTATCCCTTGAAATGAAATCCATTATAACGCCCGTGGAAAATGTCCAACCCAAGGCCGTAAGGGCGGCTGCTTGCGCACACCGTACAAAAGAGAAGGGAGGATATGGGTTGTCATATAAATGTAGGATAGGGAAACTACTTGGAATGGCCTCCTTGGCTAGCAAAGGGGGAAGAATAGAAATTGACACAGTCAACAGGACACTTAGGACTCACCAGTTTAGAAGGTTGGACAACTAGTGGGTTAGGGAATAGAATAAGTGTTACTAGTCACGAATACCTTGTCTAGTGATGGTTTATGGAGCTAGAAAGAGAGAGGGAGAGGAGTGGAGAACAAATCCAACGTCCGTCCTCCAAGAGAAGAGGAGGAGAGGAGAGAAGATGGACCAAAATGGAGCCTAGAGCAAGGAAGGGTGGAAGAGCAGGCAAGATGCAAGTGGAATGTAGTGGGACGAGGGCGGGAAAGGGAACAGACAAGCCTAATGCGTATGCCAGTACTTTCCGCGGTCATCCCTTCTATTGTTTGACTCTGGTTATTTCTGGGTCACCACTTGAAAACGCAAATGTCGTCATGAGGCGGATATTCTGCGGAAGCCCTCAAGATTGAGTTCGCGGGGGAATCTTGCCATCCTTCATTCTCATTCTCTATGTAGCCTGCCATTTTTAATTCTCGGATTTAGCGCTGATGTGTAGATCGGAGTCAGATTCGCGTTGGTTTTAGCTGTTACATGCAGCCTGCAGTACACCGCGCGGTAGGATCTTGGAACGCCATCACGGCAATCGATCAGCTTCACAGACTATCGCTGGGCATCAGCAGAGTTGAGATGACATGAAGTTTCTTCTATTATCATGAGCTTAATAGATTAAACGCAGTGAGGGTATATCTTTTGGTTGGCAATGGAATGATTGTCGCCGGTCTGCAGCTCAGCCTAAATACATCCGAGATATGCTCTGTTGGCCGCGGCCGCAATATCTCTTTGTGTTTCGAACGGCAGGTACACGAATAAGCATTCTATGCAAACCCCTCCAAGGCTGCCGTCACACAGGAACCTTTGAATAAAAACCAATAAACGAAAAGGTTGGCGGCTCTGTTCTGCGCGCCATGGAGGTCAAGTAAAACCCGGATAAGATCAAATAAAAATAAAGCTTAGAAATATGCTAGAAATGCCCTAAACGGTTGTCCGAAGTATGATTAGGCAAAGAGGCTTCAAGCTATGTTTTAAAGTTAAAACACCTGCCATGGAACCGGTGGCTATCGCCGGACAGTAGAGATTAATTAAGGTTCAGAGCCGCGATCCTGGGGGAGCCTAAAGGCTAAAGATACCTAGGTACCGTTCTGGATTCTTTTGACTGCCCAGGTACAGAAGATCAACATCTAGCCATCAATGTTGGCACTGGCTGAGGGTAAGCCTTTGCCTTTGTATGCGGGCCTTCTGTGTGACTGCTCTTCGCACAGCCCATGCACTGTGCCCAGAGACGGGCAGCAGAAGCATAGTAGGCAGCCTGTTCGTTTTTTCCTGCATCTATTTACCGATTTCTCAAGCGGCTAAACCTGCTGAGCAACATGAGATCTGCCGTAACACATTATCCCCATTCACGAAATAGTACAGAATCAGGGAGAAGGGGATGAGGAACTCACATCACCAGCCAACGGGACCCCAGATACTAATTTAACAGGGGTATTCCCTCAGAATCCGATTGAGTGTAAAATATAATGCTCAGGATCACAACACTAGGTATGACCAACATATTGCCAAGCATTTGATCATGTGACCATTACTGAGTCACATGACTGATTTTGCCGTCTCACTCACCATTTCGTCATCTCAACTCAACCGAGCCGTCGCCGCAAGCCCGAGAAATCAGCGACGGCGATATCTCCAGCTGTTACATTAGTAGATTGCCCTCCACAATCGCGGCGATAACAGGGCAGGGTAGGGCAGGGTAGGGCAGGGTAGGGCAGGGTAAGGCATGGCGCTACACACGAACGACAGAACCTCTGTTCATGATGCCTGGATGACATTTAGCCCCGCCATTTCATACATATAAAAATGTCCCCCTCTCCATCTTTCTGATCTTCGCACATTCTCGCTTCAACTTCCAATTTCTACCGCTGCTAGCCTGCCTTTTGCTGCGTATACCACTGTTTCTCTGCTTTATATATCACTCTCGACAGATATTTCTTATCATTGAAGAAAAAATCAGAAACTCATTCCGCCCATCTCCTGACCCCGCACCGCCATCACTCCCACTCTCTCGTTCTCTCTATCAAACAGCCATGGCCACTTTGCAGGCTTCCATTAGCCGTTCCAACTTCAATCTTGCGTCCTCATACAAACCCGCTCTAGTTACAGTCATACAGCCGTCCCGCCCGGCCCAACGGCGCTTCACAAACCGTTTCTCTGCATCAAGCTTCACAACCGCTTCACCCGCCCACAAGGAGGCCCAGCAAAACTCCAAAAATGAAGGCCCGTCCGATCTGGACCCTAAATCCACCGAAAGCACAAACAGTGGTACACACGCAGAAGTCGCTAGCCAGCAGACTGCTTTCATCCCATCTGACACTGCTCCTGAGTCCGAGCTCGAGGAAGTCCGTCAGCAATCGGCTGAGGACAATGGCGCCGGCGCCAATGCGAGTAGCAAGGAGAACAAGCGCGCTAAGAACCCGTTGGAAGTAAGCCCGGCTAATCGGGATGTGTCAATTTCGAAGGACGAATGTGGTAAAGAGCCTAGTAGTAGGCGCGCCTCGCCAACGAAGGGGAAAGAAGTATAAATGTATTTTTGACTCGTTTCTCTTTTCCACTGCCACTTTCCCCATGTCCCGACACGCTAATACCTGGAGTTTCGTCATGCATTCTATGATTTCATTGGAGGATCCCCTGGAGTTCTGCAGCGGAGCATTGCATATTTACATTCACTAGCGTGCATGTTTCATTGATTTTTCTCTCGGTTGCCTTTCATGCGATCTTTTTGTTGCATTTTTTCCGCCTTTTTCCTGTGTGAATTTTACTTGCATTTTTCTATGCGACAGAGGTACTCCATACAGGATTTTTTGAAAAATCTCTCATGCTGTCTTAAGCACGGCTGTTTACTCCCAATAGATCAGTTAAATACACAAGTGTTGTTTATTTGTATTCTAAATTCCACCGATGAATTATTTCATTATAATAGTTGAGGCGCTTAACTGGGGACTGAGATACGTTCCCGAGATGACTATCCATATCAATCGTTAACGCCTCCATTGACTGTATATATCCCTGAAGAAATCTGAGTGGAGACTATACCCAATCTCTCTTTCTCGGCTTATATCGAGGAAGAGATTTGAATGTCTTCGAACCTGGAAACTTTGGAATATAGCAACAACAGAAATGGAGTAGGAAAAGAAAATATTAACTTAGAGAGGAACTAAGGGTCAGTACCAATTCGGTGCTGGTCCCTGCCCCAGCAGTTGGGTTTGAATTATTTATGATAGGGATGTCCTCATGCCTATTATCATTTAACATAGCCTTTTTATCCTTCATCCCTTAAAACGCCAGCAGACTCAAGTAGGTAAGATGGTTAGAAGAGAAAAAGAAGAAACAGCAAGTAAAATCCTCATGTACCCGCCCCGTGGATTCAATATCGTCTCGATCAGGGATTAGAAGAGGGGCATACGGCAACAACACGAGGATTCAGTTGGATACCGAGTTTCGTGGTTCAGTGTGATGCATACATTTGCGCGTGCTACACGCGGTTTAATAGCCATGAGAATAGCACGCAATCGCGGAACCTTCCAGGCTTAAAATCGGCGATTTCCGCTATGAGCCGGCAGCAACGGGGCCTTCCCCACCAGGGATCAACTATTTCTTTCAATCAGTTGCCATCTTGTTTGGGAGAAGGAAGGGGGGGTGGGGGGAGAACGAAGTCAAACGGGCCTACAAGGCAATAAAAATCACCTTTGAAAGGAACATCCAAGGTAGGAGGGGGGTATACGCAGTACTTACCATGCAGATATTATTCCCGTTCAAGAGTATCTTTGGTAGTTTGGTCTGAGCCCCTGTGTAGTCACTATAGAGACATCAGAATGTGGACTTTGGCAGTGCGCAGCGCGGGCCAATGCCATTCTTGAATACATCAAGGGAAAAGTTTTTCGTGATGCGTTAAATCTCAACATACAATTCAGTGACATCTTCAAGAACCATATCTGGGTTAGATGTTAGCCAAATAGCCATCAATTAAGATAAATCAGTGGCGCTTAACGTACTGACATAGTCATCGAAACCGAGTAGGGTGCCGGCAAACTCTGGATTGGATGTTAGTTTATAGTGGAACGAAAAGGGTGGAATATCTGAGAGACAAAGTTGCCCACCTTTATCGCCTTTCATGACAACCCAGATTTTCGAACCAACACATTTATCAATCAACTCTAGAGCATACAGTTGTTAGCACGCCAATGCTATACAGTCAATGGACGCATTTAACTGAGCGGTTCCAGCTCTTACCCAGAGGGAGAAGCTGGGAAGCCATGGTGAAGAGTATCGTTTCGGTGTTGAGAAGTAATTGAAACACTCCCAAACTCCGTTCGAAGCACAGATATAGTTGGAGAAATGAAGGCAAGAGTATTTCAGCATAGAAATCAAGCCACTTGCATTTACTATACTCCTAATTGGCGGCGCTTCTCTGCGGGATCTGGCCTGTTGATGATGGTGGTGCATTACGGATCTAACCGCTTTGAGAATAGTTAGCTATGTCAACTCCGACAGCCCGATGCGGCGAACGGAAATTTCTCTTCAGACAAAGGAGAAGCATCCATCGCCAACATTAGTTCCAGTTCATTGGACCTGTTCTGTATCGTGTTCTGATGGTGGAGGGAGTATCGTTAATGGCTGCCCTTGACTAATCAGCCAGATTACATTCGTTCATATCTATCATGCCTCCTCGTTCGTTTGGATAATGTTGTCTCCAGCCCTGCTACCACATGGGCTAAGACAATGCTCTTCGGCAACATGCTCAGGCTGGCGTATTCCGTCAGAAGGGAATCGCAAGTCCAGAAATGATCATTTGCGGTTTCGTTTGGGCAGCGGATGGTGAGAGCCTTGTTCTCACCTGTTCTACAGTTCAACCATGCTAATATATTCTCTGCGATTTCTAGGCCAAGCCGCAATTATTGCCATTCCTCCAACGTGACCTACGTCATATCAAGAAATCGGAAACTTCGAACACTCTCCCCATGGCGTGGAGCACGACTGATGTATACGCCATGGCGAGCTTTCTCTGACACATCTATAAACTATGCTGCCCGGAAGCCCCCTCCAAGTCCCAAGCCCCTCGCGCCCAAGCCCCTCGCACCGAAACCCCTCGCGCCCAAGCCATTGTTCGGGGCGCAAACTCCGCAAACACCGGCCGTTGTCAAGCTGAAAGGTCGGGTACGTGTACCGCAGGATCCGCGTGCTATATTGGCGCAAACCCTTGCTCCCTTAATCACCGTTCCCGAGCCACAAGATGAACCGCCCTTGGAACAGCGCATCCTCCAGCATCGCAAAACCCATGCTATAAATCCAGAGCTTCTGGGCTCGACAATTGGCACGCTATGGGATCAGGTAGAATTCGAAGAAGACTACAGCGAGCGCCTACAATTGTTGGATGCGCAGATCGCTGCTGCAGCTGCAGCGCAGGATTCTCGACCACTTGAAATCCCTACCTTCATACCATCACCGCCGGATCTTGAAATCGATATAGCTACTTCCGTAGATATGCCGAAGCTCGAGCCTATTGAAGTGCGGGAGGTCGAACTAGTCGATCGCCGACGGCACATCAAGCGATTGGTAAAGCGTGTACGGGCGCTCGAGAGTCGCTTTGTCGATATAAGATATAATATTATCATGCATGACATAGCAGTGACGAGTTTCTTAGACACGGTGTTGAAAAGGTTATATCATGACGATATTTACGTTGTCAGGCTGCGAGAGTTGACTCGCTTTTGGAATTCAATCGAAGTGTCAGTCCGCAAACGGCGGCGAGCTTATCTTGATGCTCAAAGCTGGCTTCGTACGGTCCATTCTAGGACCTTGAAGGCTATTTCTTCAGATCTTAAATATCTGGGAAAATCACCTTGGTTACCTCAAAGAGAACAATTGATGTTTCTCAGGTATGATGGTATATTGGGCATGGATAAAAGACTCATCGCCATTGCAGGCCACAACTGGCGAAAGTATTTGAGCATCGGATTATACCTCTCGGAACATGCTTCTGTCCCCAATGCATGGGATTTTCATGTCTTTTCCATTACAACAAACGATGCTTTTGGTCAATACCGCAACGCGATAAACGACACAATCGAAGAAGCCAATAAGACAATCCGGGAATTTTCGTCCAGTTCCCGGAACCACAATCAATCTAGGCACAAACGATGGCTAGTCGATATGTTGAAGAGAAGCCGGGAGGTTCAAGCTTTAGCGAAGAGTGATTTAAATCTAGATCCCGCCTCAGTTTTTGCTTACACCCTCCAGCTTTTTTACGCTACACAACCGGCGTCCAGTATTTACTGGAAACAGTGGGAGATCATTGCCCCTTTCATTACCTCGCGGAACCGCATCCATTCAATCAGGAGCGCCGTGACCCAGCTTGTCAGCGTCATAGACATTGCTACACAGGGAGGCTATAGAATGCCTACCGTACTCCAACCGTCTCTGCAGAGATGGCACAGTCAGTTCTCTCTTTTATGGCTCGACGAATTCATCGTGGAACTTGAAGCATTTATTGAAATCAGTTTCCTTCGTCTTCAGAGCGAAGAAAGACTTGCCCAACTTGATTTACACAGCAGTGAATGTCCCACTGTTGTTCTTCCAAATCAAACCGATATAGAGAAAATTCGTCACTGGGTATCGGAACTGTCGAAAATCACTTTTCCCGGTAACGAATCTGGTACAGGAGACGCTGAGGTGGATGAATATCAGAGAACTGAGTGGCTTCGTATCCAGCATGCAGTGTGGAATAGATTCAGATCGAGATCCAACACGCGCACTGTATCTCGATCACGGCCATTGAGTGTGATCAAAGCAAAAACACTGAGACGTTCTGGCATTCGCTCAAAGCCCGTAGTGTACTCATCCCCGCCATCAAAACGGACAAAACTCAAACCCAAACGTTCTAGCACTAGTCCAGAGCCACCGATATCAAAGCTAGCTAAAAGAAAACCCAGATCCGGCATCAAGTCAAAGGCAAAGACGGCAAGTGCAGATCAACCCTTGGTGACCGAGCCAACGCCATCACTGGTCAGAATTACCCCACCCAAGAAGCAACCTTCACGATGGCTAGGTGGGCTTTTTAACCGGGTCCCATTTTCCAAGTATCATACCAAAGCTGCAGGCGGCTTTTCCGCTTCTTCCACACATGCATCCAACGGCCAATCCGAAACGTCACCATCTAAATATTGGAGCTATAATCTGAACAAAACACCAGATGGTAAAGACATCACTGTTCACTATTGTACTTCCCTCCAGACGTCGGAACGGGTAGCACAGCATTTTCTGTCCGAAACTGTTGTCGGCCTCGACCTTGAATGGAAGGCTCAAGCCTCTACTCGTGATGCGCTTGTAGATAATGTTTCTATGATACAGCTTGCAAGCAAGGAGCGAATCGCCGTATTCCACCTAGCTCTATTTAATCCAGCTAATTCACCGCAGCACCTCGTCTCTCCCACTCTCAAAAGACTACTGGAATCTCCCGAGCTTGTCAAGGTGGGCGTCGCCATTAGGGCTGACTGTACGCGGCTATATAAATTTTTGGGCCTACAGACAACCAACCTCTGCGAAGTTAGCCGCTTGCACAAAGTGGTAAAGCACCATCTCAATCCGAAACTCATCAATAAGAGATTGGTGAATCTCGCTGAGCAAGTTGAAGAGCATTTAGGCTTGCCACTTGATAAGGACCCCGAAATTAGGTGCGGCGGATGGTCGAAAAAGCTCAATTACCGCCAGGTGCAATGTAAGTTTGATTTGGCTATTACCTGATAAATTTCTTTTATTTATGCCCCCCGCCCCCCCCTTCTCCATTGGTCATCTAGTTCTAACCCACCCACTTAGACGTTGCAACGGATCCTTACGCCGCCTTGCAGCTCTTCCATGTACTCGAAGCTAAAAGACTCAAGCTGGAGCCAGTCCCACCCAGCCCGGACCATCCAGTGATCCCTTATGCTGTCACAGGATCTATTAAGAAAATTCACTCGAAGAACAATTTCAGGGAGAATGAAAAGATCCCCGCTTTGTGCGACAGTGAAATCAAGACATCAATCGCGGAAACTCAGCAGTAGCAAAGGACCGACCTTCAAAGACAAATCATGGGTCTCTTTCTGTCTTACTGGTATGAGTCTAACGATAGGATTAGATCTGCCTTCCTGGTTACAGCCGTCGCCGCCGCCCCTGTTCTCAATGTTCCTACCATCTTTTCAAAGGTCAATGTTTCAGGCAGGTGTGACGGGAAACAACAGGCTGAGCCTCATTGTACTATCCGAACGACCCATTTATCTACACTATTCGAAAACCATCGATATAAAACATTAAAACCACAATCTTGATAAAGTGCGTCCATATTTTTCTATATACGAAGCGTTCGTATGGAAAACTGGAATGACATCAGCATACACTCCCCAAAACCTTCCAATACCTTATTTTAGATTTCTGTGTATATCTACGTTTTGTTTCCCGTTTATATCAAGCATATGCATGGCCTCCTGCGCCACTAGGGCGCGCCGTTTCTAGTTTTACCTCTGGGGGAATATTCCGGGTAGTGGAATCCCATTTTCCATAATCTTCTATGTATTTGTACCTTACATTTTCCTTTGGGATCAGTTGGATGATTTAAATGATTGATGTCCTGTTCTATTAGTCCTGTGCTATTAGAAATTTTTCGGCGTTGGTCATATAGACAAATATTGCCACATCGGTACAAAATTTCACAATGGGAATGCGGGAAACATACATACACACCTACACACCGGCGTGTATGGCTTATATTATATTGATATCAATTCTAACAATGGCAACTAGTCATACATATGCTATATACGATATCAATATCCACGCTCCACAGTCAGATCTTAAAATAACGGGGGGCACTTCATCCTCTCAAGGGCAAGATTTTTGAGCCCAACGCCTCCTGCCGACAGAGCGGACACTCAGGTTTCTCTCTCACCCAGTCCCGTATACACGTCCAGCAGAATACATGTCCACACGTTGTCGCACTCGGATCTTTAAAGGATTCTAGACAGAGGGTGCACTTCCGTTGCTGGCCGGGCGGAACCCAAGCGAGCACGGCGTTGGTGGGATTCGCCATATCATATCGCGCCTCGCTTGCGGGTAGCGATTGGAGGGATGGTGGGTAGTATATTGCTTTGAGGGCTGTTTTCTGGTCGGAGCTTTGTTGGTTCTCCGCTGTTTCAGCTGTGAAGGAGGAGACTGTATCCTTGACGTGCAGGATTCCCTGCACGGCGATTTGCAAAACGAGCAAGACGCCTAGTACCTCATATCCGATTCTAGCTTCATTATCTTCAATTCGTTTTGTAAAAACATATCGAAGGCCCCAGATGCGTTTGGATATGTGGTAATATGCTCCAGAGAAATAGAAGGCGGCCAGGTTAAGTGCGAAGATTGGGGAGAGGGAGGTGAGGGAATCAAGATGGTCGAGGACATAGGTTTGGAAACGAAGTGTGAGGTTAGGTTTAGAGGGCGTTTCCTGTTTGGAGGACAGTAATGCAGCTCTTGCCTGTAAGCGGGCGACGCTGCGTTGGAGTTTTACTCGCAGTTTCTGTCGTAGGGCGGGGAGAAGCCGCTGTAATGCCCATGGTATTAGAATGCTACTGAGGATATATCCGACCCGTCGAGCCAGCGATGGTAGTCGTAATGAGTCATCTTCCAGTTGTACCACATCGCAATACTCTTCGCCCAGTGTTCTGTTTCCGACAAGCGTTGTGAGAGAAAGGTAGAGGAGGTCAGTGAGGTTTTTGATGGCATCGGTATGAGAGTGGGCGAATCTGGCGCCACGTAGAGCGCGAATTATTGTGTGTGCTTGAGCTGAAAGCGTCCCGGAAATGTACGCATCCTTTTCATGGCTGCGTATAATATCTGGAGATGTGGCCCATGGGAAGAAATGCGAGACGGGGGTAGCTGATGGTTTTGGGTTTATAGCCGGCGCAGCACCTGGATCAGAATCCATCTCGCAAGATGGATAGGATAGCTGAGGTGGGGATAAGCCGAGCTTCAAGTGGGTTCGATATACCAGTTAAAAGCTCAATATCATCCAAAAGTTCACATAATATAGTATACCTGTCTCGTCGTAGTCAATTGAGAAGCGCAACGAGTGCGAGTTTTGTCTGTCTATCCAGCTTCGGTTCCGCCGTAGTTTGCCTCGGCTTAGGAGATGTCACGAGACTATCATCACGTGAATTATGACATAATTCATGACATAATCAGGGTTGGTCGCCCCTTGTCCCAAATAGGAAATTTTGATAGCCAACTTTCTCGAAATAGCTTCTACGCAGCGTACGCTTCCAAACTGCGGAAGATACTTTGGCGGCCTTCTCGCTTTTTAAAGCTAATACAAGGTATCTAACATACCGGATAATAAATAACTCACTCTCAAGTCGCTCATTACCAGCTATCTTCTTACTCCGCCTCCTCTTACCCTCCTCCCCAATCCCCTGCATCGCTTGTCCGAGACAGCTCCGTGAGGGCCATTTGTTCAATTGCGATGGAATATGGATCCAGACCATGATGTGAACCGCAACCTGGACCAATTAAGCCGGTTCAGTCTCTTTTTCCCTTTACCTTACCGGGTGGCCATCGTACTAGTTGCAGGTAGGCTCTTTTCCTACATCTTCACTCTAGGATATCTTCTTTTCTGGCTCCGCTAACTCTGTCCATCTAGGGGTTTGGGGATGGGGACTGAACCTCCATTACTTATCAGCTGTCAAAATTGTACGTATACTCCTGTCGAAGATCTCTATAGCCTTTAAAGAAGAGCATTAGGACCAAATAAAAATGTCAAGAGGAGCGTTACCAACTAACATACTTCAGGATGTTCCGGCCTTGATTCGTTACCCGTCTCGATCGTCCATTCAGCAGGTGCCCGTGTACCGTTCCACATATCACCTTGCAACTTTACTTTCAATCCCACTTGTGATATCCATCCTATTTTTCTGGTCTGTGACACATGGCTCCGCGGAGCACGTTATCGCCTGGGAAATAATCCCGCAATCCTACCTCTTCCTCTTCTTCGTCCTCCTAATCTTCCCCCTTCACCGGCTCTCCCGCACTGGACGACACAGGTTCGTCGTTGCGTTGAAGCGGATTAGCATTGGCGGGCTTGCGGAGACTCAAGATGGGAAATTTGGCGACATAATACTTGCGGATGTTCTGACCAGTTATTCCAAAATCCTGGGAGACCTCTTCGTCAGCGCCTGCATGTTCCTTTCATCCGACGCATCTAGCACCGGTATTCCGAATAGGAAATGCGGCGGCCAAATTGCTGTTCCCCTGCTTATTTGCATCCCCAACGCAATTCGACTCAGGCAGTGCCTGATCGAGTTTGGCCGGGTGCAAAGGGGAAACAGGAGCGTGGATGGTTGGGGTGGACAGCACCTTGCAAACGCGCTCAAATACTCGAGCGCCTTTCCTGTAATTTTATTAACTACATTGCAACGCAATCATGTCCCGGCTACCTCCTCTATGAGTGCAGAAAGCCTACATCGATTATGGTATGTTCCAATGAAAATGGCGCGATCAAACCTCTTTCCCCTAGGCCGCCTCCACTAATATCATACAGGATTCTATCCGCGCTCGTTAACTCACTTTTCACATTCTACTGGGACGTCGCCAAAGATTGGGACCTCACGCTATTTTCCGCGCTGAACCACCCCAACGACCCGGACCACCCGTTCGGCCTACGTCGCCACCGGTATTTCTACGCGAACGAAATGTACTATTCAGCTATTGTCATCGACCTAATTTTACGATTTACATGGGTTTCTCGGCTTTCTGCTCGTTTGGACTGGGTGAATGATATAGAAGGCGGCGTTTTTGCGCTCATGCTCCTTGAGGTTGTTAGGCGGTGGATTTGGATATTTTTCAGAGTTGAGACGGAGTGGGGTGAGTGCCATGATGAACCCCTCTTTTTGTTCCTGTTCATTATATATAACGTCGCTAACGTGGTCATTCTATTGAAACGTTTAGTCCGGAATAACCTTGGCCCAGCACCGGATGATATACTCCTAGGCGAATTTAACGGCAAGATAGACGAAGATTAAATAATAGATGGATCAAACGGACAGCGGGAAAGAGGCTGCTACTCTCCAGCTTGTCTTGTCACCCTTTTCCTTTCTCTTTAGCGTCTACAAACTTTTTGAGCTTTTTGAGATAACATTCCATGTACATGTGCTTACAGTACATTATATCCTTCTTATTTTATATAATTTATATTTCGGTTTACTTTGTATAATATCTCTTTTTGTTGTATTTTCGAATGGGGCTCGAACTTGCTAGTTCTCTAATAATTTCTCCAGGCCCATCCCAGTCAACAGTAGTCTATAGAGTACCATAGCAAATTTAAAACCCTAGCTGGAAACAAACTCAGATCAAAACCCAGGGAGAAAATGACGCCCATGAAAAACATTACTACAGTTACTTTGTGAGCGAAACGAGGAATGAAAGAGTTCGAATCTAATATATGAGATTTATACGGTTGTAAAGATAGCCAAGCTATTTATAGAGGATACATACAAAATTCGGTGGGGGCGGAAGGCAAGCGCATACGCAAAAGAAGAGAGCGTGAAAAGACACACAAAATGAATAAATAAAAGAAGATAGAAGGAAAGGAAAAGCAAGAGAAAAAGTTTCGCTATGAAAACAATGTGTAATATAATATACCTTAGATGGAATGGTTGGTGGCTTGTAAGCTAGGACGATGGAATGTAAAAAAGAGAAAAGAGTTTCGCACCGGGTTGAATGAAAAAAAAAAAAAAAAAAAAAAAAAAAAAAAAAAGAGGCACAAGAAGGCGACGTAAAGGGAAGTGGGGAAATAAGCAGAAACTCCAACTCTAAGCACAAAAGTTCCTAGGCAAATATTCGAGGAGGGGAACGAGCAGCAGATATGCCTTCTTTGGTGAATACGAAGTGAGAATCAAACAGTATAACCGGGATTTTGGTAGGGCAAGGAAAACCCCTGAAAATTACCAGCAAGAAGGTAGGAGTGGAGGAGCATTTTTTTTTATACCAGAAAGAAAAGTGAGAAAAGGAAGGAAAAGGGGATCCCAAAAAAGAAAAGTCTTAAATTATTTACTTGTATAGCCAAAATCGAATAAGGACATTGCATGGGAGCCAATGTCAACCAAGAAAAGAAAGAAGGTAGAAGAAAATATATTAACTTTATATCATCTGAAACGTCAGGACCAAAAAAAAAAAAGAAAGAAAGAAAGAATTGGGCAGCAGAAAAAGAAAAAAAAAAAAAAGCTTTAAACCAACTATCATTGACTAGGCGGGTGATTCTCAAACAAATCTTCTAGGTACGCGCTTGGTGCGCGCCCCTGTGGCGCAACCGATAGATTCACACTACTAGTCGAAGGAAAGCCCTGCTCATGGCCTCCTCCTCGACTTGTCGGCGCAAGACTGGGAGAGGCAGGCGGGGTGATACCGCCTGTAGATCTCGTGCGGGGGTACCCCTGCGTCTGCGGGCCGAGTGGCGAGAGACCTATAGATTGGCCCGGGGCGGTGGTGGAGCCTGTAGCATAGTATCCCGCGGGGAGGTAGCTGGAGCCCCTGTTCCCGCTCGTGTGCAGGCCAGCACCAGCAGTTGGGGAAAAGAAGAGGCTCGAGTTTGGCGTGTGGGTTCGCGGTGGTAATCCAGAAAGGCGTGCACCGCTGTTGCCCATCTTTTCCATCGACATGGATGCGCCAGGCGCAAATTGAGGGTAGACGCCGGATCTTCGCTTGTTGAGGAGCGCGGGGGTTGTATCTGACAGATCGGGGCGGGTTGCTGCGCGGCGGACGGACCGGTTGATAGACCAGGCTACCAGCACTCGCCAAAGGAATATTATCAGGCCGAACAAGCCTAGGGCGCCACCAACACCTATGAAGATAGAGCCATCTGGGATGCTTGAGGTTTGGAGATACGGAGCCCCGGCATGTGGGGGCACTTGCGGGGTGGGTGTTCTGAAGAGCGGGGGGAGGCTCAAGGAAGAACTATCGCTGGTTATTGAGGGCAAGTTGGCTGAACTGACGGTGGTTGTGGTAGGAGGATCAGTTGTGGTTGTTGTTGTTGTTGTAATGGGAGGAAGGACGCTCTCGGTTGTTCCAGTTGGTTGTTCAGTCTCTTGCGACGTGGTTTCGCTGGTTCCGGTGTTTGTGGGTTCCGGACTGGGGGCATCTGTTGTTCTAGGAGGCGGTCTTGGGTTTGGGGCTTGCGCTTCCACTTTGCCAACTAGAACCAGCAGACATAAAAACAGCACGAAAAGCAGGAATGGCCTCGAAGCCAGTCTCCGCAAGCGTCTCATAATCGACGAGGCACGGAGAATCTGCCAGTCGGTAGAGACAGGGCCTGGTAGAGCCGGGGGGGGGGGGGGTTCTTGACTCCAATATAAAAATCCCGAGACTAATACAGTATCACCGAGTCCGAGCAATGAATTCGGCGACCCGATAGGGGATATCCAAGACCCCAATCGGTATTAAAATCAGTCTCTCTTATCTATAGAGGTGATCTCCGGGTTTGAGATGTGGGTGGCGCTAGGTGGGGGATTGGTTAAAAATCCCGGATCTGGCAAGGAATGTTGGTCTGAGGGAAGGGTGGAGTTGGTTGGCAAAATATGGGTTAAAACAAATGAAATACGTAGCGACGGAGACTCGAGGAGGAGCTACAGCGAGGAGAGAGCTGCACACAAGCAAGAAGACTAGTAGATAAAGAGCGTACACGCAGCGGAACGAGAGAGGGGCGCAGCGAGTGGAGAAATATTCTGAGGACGTTGAAACAGACGCAGGATGAGGCTCTGGCTGTGGGGCTCATCTTGAGGGCTGTGATTGGCTGCTTGTTATATAAAAATGGACAACCTATACCATAAGGGGAATGGTTTCCTATCACCAGTCTCAAAATAGAATAATCACGTGATTTAGGTTTCTGGCCCAAAAAGGAAAATGTCCGAAATCCAATTGAGCTTGATATACTCCATACTAGCCAGCATAACAAAAAATATCAAGCAGATAGCCTCTGCCGGATCTTGACATAGATGAAACAAAAATAGTAACCGGGCCGTATACATTTCTCTTCCCTTTCCCGCCCCCCCTTTTCGCTGCTGTTTCGTGCATCTACTAGGGCAAGCCTACTCATCGCGGCATTCACTAGCTAGCATCCCAGTACTCCGTAGAAACGCCGTCATCTCGAAGTAGGACGTTGGATAGTAGCAAGGGCGTATATAGTGCACGACGTCCCCCGCGCTTTTGAGTTCAAACACGAACTCTACATCTCTCAAATATAAAATTCACGGGTGAAAATAAACACGTCCGGAGGTGTAAATTTGTATTGTTTGTAAAAGCCAGCGACCCAGATCTAGCGGGAAAAATAACCCGACAACGGAAGAAAAAAAAAAATAACCCATGGACAGATAAAACACTATGAAGAGGGGGAAAAGCACGATCTGCCATAAGTAAAAGCAACATAAAATATAAAACAACATAAATGAGTACACACCAAAGCGCGAAACCAGAAGAGTATAGACATGTATGAAAGAGAAAGTAGATGAACGCAACACCATCATACCTCCCTAAATTAATAGGGGGAAAAGGCGGAACAAAAAGAAATAAATCGAAAAAAAAAAAAACAACGATATCCCATTATGAGCCAAAGCGAGGAACAAAAAACAAAACTATTGCTGCTTCTTCGCTGCCGCAGGACTATTATCCTTCTCAAATGCAGCATAGGACACCTTCAGGCTTAACAGGGCCGAAAGCCCCACGTAGGTAACCAGGGCGAATAACAGGCCGCCCATCAGTCCCATGAATATTCCTATCGAAGCGCATGTGTGTCAGTGAGATAAATCCATGAATAAATGAGGACATAAGACAGCATATAAAATAAACACCCCATGCCGTCGGTACTAGGGGGAAGCGAAGGGAGAGAGAGGGGGGGGGGGGGGGGGGGGGGGGGTTGACCTGTTGCCAAAGGTTACAGCCAAGTGCCTTATTGCGCCATGCCTGATCCAATGACCACATTGCTCGTCCAGAAATTGGATTAAAGAGAAATAGAGGCAAAAAGTTCACTGAAGGAAGAAAATCATTGTGTCGTATGGAATGGCTTTCAGAGCATTTGCGAGCGAGAATTCATCGTGTGTACGAACGTGCTGTGCGGACGTGAGCCCGTTAGGATACCAGCGTGGCTGTGGGTGGAGTTGACGGCGCAGGATTGACCATCTTTTCCATCTCCCTTTCGATGTTAGCAAACAAAGTGTGCAGTTCGGCACCTGCATATATCTTAATC